GATTTTATGTGCATGTCTGCCTAATCTGAACTATACTGATCATTCAATCAAGTGGAACAACCTATTGAAGAAGGTATCACTGTTTAAGTACTGTGAATTCATTATCGAAGTCTAAGCAGAGTTGCTGAGTCATGAACTTCGTGGCATTGATTATTTGGCTTGCAAGGGTTTTGTTTTAGCTGTGAAAATAGAACCAAAAATAACTGAGATATATGTTTCTCACGTTATCAACGCACTTCCATTTGAACTTGAGCTTACTTTGTATAATCACATAAGAAATGTCATGAAACACATTCCTTCCTACAATAACATTATGAGATTTGCAGAGAAACAACTTACTTGGCTAGGCTGGAAATTGAACAGTAATATTCCTATAAAAAAATGAACAGCGATACAGTCACGACTTGGGCAATAACAGAAGGATCTAAGTGATAACCTAATTTGAAAGAGTTTAGTTCAGTTGAGGGTAGATTAATTTGCTTTCATGACAACTAAAACAATACATAGATTACTGAGCATGATCCTAACTTTTTCCCGCTTTTGGACAAACCCGTCAAAAAACAATTAGTTGTCAACATATATTAATGTCATAATAATATGACATTCTTGGGAAATTGAGACGGTGTACAAGTGATTGTTGTGATTTTAAAACGATTGATATGTTTGATTTACAGTCCATTCACTATGCTATTGGAGTTACTATTGGAATGGTGTCATTCACTTCTTCTTACTACCGTCACCTAAACTGACAACCATATAATCATATTAATTCAAAACCTAAACTGACAACCATATAATCATACTAATTCAACTTAAGTTATCGCGGCGTTGCATAGCCGCCGCGGGTATTGATTCTAGTATACTTTAAAATCAAATATAGTACACATCTTGGAAGAAACCTTGATTACATAAGTAACACGTAAAAAATTGTATGTTGACTATCCCACGTGCCTCCCTGGCACGAAACTCACAAATAGGACATCGTAGGGGGCATAGTATAGAAGCATCGTAAGTGGAGGAATACGTTGTGGATTCACCCAACCAAATATGTGTATAACTAGTCTCGTAATGAAGCGAGTCTAAGGAGGGAGCTTGCCTTTGCAACACCCTTTTTAACTTAATAGTTTAGTTGTGTTTTATTTCCCTTTTGATATTCATTACCAAACAAGGCAAACCACAACCCTGGATGCAACTCAACCTCAAGATTGATTTTAAAACCCGAAAGAATAGGCCCTTACTAACTGAGTAAGGAGACGTGAGAGGCCTGGAGGAAATACAATAGAAACTCGCCTGGAGCACCTTCCCTACGGTTCGATTACCTCCGTGGTGGCCCCCGGATGGACCTTCATGACGTTAGATAAAGATAGCTCGCATCTCTCCTTCGGGTGGGGTCATCCCAAAAATACTACCAAAGATCGGAGAAAAACTTTCTCTTAGTAAAGACACCTCAATTCTGACATCAAAATAGGTCTTCGAAATTTAGCTCGCTTCGCTACATAAGGTGTAGGGTGTCTTGTGTGGCTTCGGCGGAAAATAATGCTTCGCTAGCACCAGGGCACAATGCAGAAGTGCGATTCTACGTAGAAGTTTTGGTGACCTAGAAGCGTAAGACCATAAGATTTTAAGCTTTAAGGCGCAGATTTTTACTATACTTGTAAATGAAATGCGTGATTCTACGTAAAAGCGTTTTGGTGATGTAAAAGCGTAAACTTTTAAGTTTTAAAGCGCTATTGACTACATTGCCATGTCGATCTTCTCCTAGGTGCGAAGGCGAGTTTCTAATTGAAGAAGTCGCTCGAAAACCCCTTTGAAATGCAGATCATCTCAATTTAGCAAATGCGAGCGCAATCATTCGAACTTCGACTTGAGCTTCATAAGAAACTGAATTAGACGTGACTGGTTCCGTTCGGCTCGAACTTCCTCAGAGATAGTAGCCAAGTGGAGAGAAGCCAAGAGAAGGTATTGTTCAGTTCAAAGGCAAACCGATGCATTTTAGTAGGACGCAATATCCATACCCCCTTGCTTCAAGAAAGCCAGTTCAATGTCCAACTCAAAATGACGGGCCGAATTCTTGGTGGTATATGCAGAGGCTAGTTGTGACCACATCTCAAAGGCAGTAGTGAATAATCAAAGACCCAAATCAATGGAGGAAACCGCTGAACTGAATCCATGACTTAACCTTATCATTATTCATCATCCAGCGTTCCAATTTCTGCTTAGAAGTGGGAGGTACTGTCAGCTTCTTGGATGTACCATCAAGGCTTGATATGAGAACCTTACTTTCAACAAATACGTGAAACTAAATTTCTCAGACTGCATAATTCTTCAAATCAAGATGAATATTGAAGCGATTAGAATCATTGGACGATTGCTTTGATACCATGTTAGATATGTTAAGCGAGAGTAGAAAGACGGAGAAACACGAATATACGTAATATCCCTGAAAGGTTTGGGGCTAATCCACGGAAGAGCCTCAAGACACTCTGAGCTACTGACCGTAATTGTTTAACCAGTTTACGTCTCTACATATGATGCTTATATACAGCTGAAATATAGCTTAACCTACTCAGTATATATCTAACTAGAAGGGAAGCCCATGGACTCCACAAATTTGATTCTCCTATTTCCATGAACCAAACAATGGATTTTGTTCCAAGTCCATGATGGATGCTCAAATACATCACAAAATCCACAATAACAGGAGATATCGAAAGATCGTCAAAACTCAAACCGGTGACCATGAATGTCAAAGTGGATCGACAAGGTTTAGAGGAAGTTATAATCATCATCAAGTTTAATTTATTGTCAATGTTTAGATTTTAGTTTGAGTATTGTTTTTTTTTTTATAAGGGTGAAAATCATTAAAACAAAAGGAGAAAAAAGAGACTCCAAATGGTTCAGAAGGGATGAACCATTGGAGCCAGAGTCTGTACACAAATTACGGGCAAAACCAGTCATACGGAACCGACCGCACCTGCAATGCCCAGAAAAAAGAAAAAAACCAGCAGCGAGAAACCATCAGCTGCACCCTCCCAGCCCACAACGAACACAAAGAAAAAGCAGAGTCCAAACCCACAACACAACCCCCAACAGCAGCAAGCGTCCACCACCCACCACAAACAAACCACGCAAACAAGCACAAAATCAAACAACCATGTGCTCCTGTTGATCCAAACCAACAAGAGATAAGGTCCTAAGCCACTCCCTCCTATTCTGATCACTAATCAAACCAGCAGCCTTCACCCATCGCAGAAGACTCCAACCAATCTTGTAGTATATGGACTGCCACGTCTACTTCTTCTCGTTAAAGCTCCTATCATTACGTTCTTTCCACACCTCCCAAGTGAAAGCATGGAGGAAAAGCTGTCTAAACCACTCAATCCAAGACACCGGTTCACTTGTATCCCAGCTCCTGATCAGTTGCGACATCTCATCAAAATGGGGTCCAATAATCTTCAAAACCTGCATAAACACGCCCCAAATCTTGCTGCTGAAGATGCAGGTTCTGAACAGGTGGGTGATCGATTCCTCCTCCTCTTCACAAAGCACGCATCTGCTGACAATGTACCACCCACGTCTCCTCAAGTTGTCATGGGTAAGAATGCGTTTGTGGAAAACGAGCCAAAGAAAGCTACTAATCTTCAGTGGCACCTGGGCACGCCAAACTGCCTTACGAGGGAAGTCCATCACTCCAGGGAACCTTTCGTGGCAGAGGCTCTCGTACATGGATCGAACCGAGAATCCTGACTTAGCATTGGGAAGCCACATCAACCTGCAAGGACCAGACGAAAACCGACTAGGCGGAATATTAGACAGAAAATTAAACAGCTCAACCCTTTCCCTTTCAGCCCCACCTCTCAAATTAGTGTTTAAGGAAAGATTCCAATTCACACCCTCATGCGAAACAGAGACAAAGTCAGTGATCCAGCCGTTGGGGAGAGTCAAGACAGATGCGACTCTAGGAAAAGCTTCAGCTAAGGTCTTGCCCTGGTTCCAATGATGTAGCCAAAAAGAGACTCACGCGCCACCTCCCGGGTCAACCAAAGCATGCCGCCAAAAAAGAGCCTCTTCCTTCATAATAGATTTCCAGATAGAGCACCCAACGCTACCCCTCCCCTTCCCCAGCTTCCACATAGAGACAGGATTAGGAAACTTAATGCCAATGAGCGCCCTCCACCACGCATCACTCTCAGTGGCAAACTTCCACAACCATTTAGCAAGGAGAGCCGAGTTCATACCTTCCAAGTCAAGAACACCCAATCCCCCTGCCTCTTTCATGGCCTTACATTGTTTATTTTAGGGTAATGTCTATTTTTTATCCAAATCTTTTTCGGATTCTTTTATATTATCCAAACCTATGAAAATGCTATTAATTATCCAAATCTTTCTTAATGCATCAAAATATTAGCCATTTTTATGTTATTGTTAATAATTTTGTAACTCTTTTCTTAGTTAAAATACTAAAATTTTGGAATGTTGACATGCATGAGCAGAACTCACTTTGATTCTACCGTACAGATTGATTGGTTCGATTGGGTTAGACTAAAAAAATCTTGCTTTTCAACTCATTTAGATCTATTCTATTTTCTTTTCGGGCTCGGCGGTACGTCTCTTCCAAGTCAGTATCATGTTGCCAAGTCATTATTATTAATAAAATTGTTAATTAGAAGTTAACATTTGGCTAATTCTTAGTATTTCGATAGGTTTGGATAATATAAAAGAATCAGAAAAAGATTTGAATAAAAAATAGACATTACCCTTTATTTTAAGTTATTTGTTCTCAAAAACAAGTTGATACGATATGTCTTGTAATGCCAAACTTGAATATTTAAACCCAAATATAAATGAGAAATACCCAAGATTTTTAGAGTTTCATTTTCTCCAATTTATCTTTGTTGTTACACAATACAAACAACCCCCAACTCTAACCTCGATTTCTTGGTAGCAAATTGTAATTTGATAGATTGATAGATATAAAACTTGGAAGAGAACGACAATGGCCGCGGTGTTGCTGGCCCGAGTTGCCTTGTACTCTGTCCTTATCCCGCCCGCGCAGGGAAACAAAGAGAACAAGAGGAAGAAGATGTGGAGAAGCGTGAGCATTTCCATTAACCTACCACATTCAAGCCGCCTTCAGCTCCCGCCGCCGCCTGTAGTAATGTTCCTCAACAGCAGCAAACGCCTCATCGATTCCGCCAGCGGGAGCCATCTTCACTTCCGCTCCAAATCAGTGCCATCGCCCGTCCAATGTACGCTCAACCCGGGAGCAGGATCAGCCGACGATCTTTCCATTTCCCAACAGCCTTCTAGTGAGGCAATACTACCACTACTCCTCCTATCTCCCTCTCTTCCTACTCGTCATTCGCTCGCTGCATTATGCTGAGGCTCTGAGTTGGCTAATATCTTGAATTTCCGATAGGTCGAGCTTGAAGAAGACAAAGGGCTCTGGAGCAAATGGAAGGTACCATTTCTCTTTCTATTCAGCTTTTAGTTGGTTAGAAAAGGGGCATCAGAATTTCTTTTCCGTCTTGTTCAACATGTCTGCCCTCGATTTGGATTGGCGCCAGGCGAATTCCGCAGAAATGAGCTCGAAGCTTGCCAAGCTCGGGCTAGCAGCTGTACTGGCGTACGGGCTGTTCGACGGAGTGACGTACACGACTTTCTTCGTGCTGGCGTTCCTCGGGTACGAGAAGAGCACCGGCAAGAACCCTGCCGCCAATCTTCAGGCCCTCCTTGGGGTAATGTACAGCAACCCCTTTTGTCCTGTGATTGCCCACATACTGTTTGATGTTATTCCTCTGAGAAGAGAGAACACAACGTCTAACGATTTGCTTGCTTGGCCGGAACCTTTCTTTTGTTATTTCAGATTGTGATCTTGATGTGGACAGGAAACAATGTGACGAGGCCGTTCCGGGTCGCTGGAGCTGCAGCGCTGGCGCCACTGATCGATAGAGGATTGAAGAGGATACAGAGCTACTTCAAGTTCCCCAGCCTTGTCTATGCGTTTGCTCTTGTGGCCTCCATCGTGGCCTCGGCCAGCGGGACAGTAGTCGGCTTGCTCATCCTCTCCAGATGGGGGAAATGAAAGGAAACCAAGGGAGATTTCCTTTTTCGAAATGGTGATGAATAGATGATGCAACAAGTGTTTTGATACTTATAAGATAAACGCCACGAACGAATTAAGTCCATGATCTTACAACAATTTCTCCAGACTACCAAAAACGGAGAGTGATGTAACGAAGCTCAACAGGAAAGGTAAAAACTCGCCGCGATTCTATTCCTACCTCAGCGTAATACAAAACTTCAGGCAAATATCCATGCGAGCCGACCTACTACAGCTGGTCTTTCTTTTCACCAGACTCTAATAACCCGATAATAGGTTTCTCGGAGGGTAATCCGTGGCTGCAGTAACTGCTTCTATTCGGCTGGTGCTTGTCTGTGCTAATGCTATTGACAGTATCCTTCAGCTTTGGTTGATGCCTTGCTTTTCTCTCATCATCTTGGTGCAGACTTTTGGAAGGTTGAACTTCCCTTCCCTCCAAACTCAACTTACCTATTCAACAAGCATACACAGTTAACCGGAACAAAATTTTAGGGCATTCCATGATATTCCACGTCATACCCTTCGATTGAAGGTAAGGCTCTCCCTTCGCCTACATATAAGTGGTGTTCTTGTTGGTGCCGACTTCAACAATCCCCTTCTTTGACCTTTTCCTCTTTCTATCAGTAGGGGGTCATCTCCGCTGCTGCTTCCATCACTCCACCATCACCGACATGAACTCCTTCGCTTTCCCTTGGGTTCTCCCCCGCGATGCCAGCTCCTGATTTGTTGAGAGTAAACGCGTTGCAGCGACTCTGTGATATATCATCAGCTGAACGTTTTTCTAGCAGTTGTTCCACAGCAGCTTCTTTCTTGTCTTCCTTCATGATGGCATTGTTCTCCTCTAATTTCCCAAAGCTAATATTAGTTTCTTCGCTACAAACAGTTTTCTCCTTGGATCGTTCCCGCTTTCTTTTGCCACTTGTCGGTTCAACTGCTTTCACCGCCTTACCTGCTGCATCAGGGCATTTCAGCCCGGGTGCATGATATCTCTTCCTTTTCCTGCCGCTGATGATCCCTGGTGTTACATTCACATCCACCGCCTTATTGTTCACATGAGCATGAGCATCACTTATTTCTTCCCATAACAGGACGGTTCTGCCACTGTCTGATCTGCCAACACGTGAAACAACTGCAGATTCTTCACCCTCAGAATCGCATACTACTTCTACTTCTTTCATGGCACTGATATCCGATATCTCAGTAGTTTCTTCATTGTTGACTTCTTCAACACGCCTCCTTTTCTTGGACTTCTTTCTCCTTTTCTTGCTGCTCGGCTCTGCATTATGTATTTCATCTATGTTTCCATGCTCACGATATTCAAGATCATCCTTCGCATGACCTCCATCTGCAACAACATTGATACCTACTGATTCATCCCTGAGAGTGCAAGGGGCCAGCAGCCGACCACTCTCACCAGCACTAACATCACTATTCTCGTCCTGTTTGAACTGCTGCTGGGATATCCTTGCTCCTTGTTCAGAGTTGACTTCAGGACTCAATTCCCCTTCAACCTCACCAACACTAGCGCCCATTCTTCTTCTACTGTCAAGTGACCCAACAGACGCCAAAGATAAGTGACCAGATTGAGGGTAACCGCCAGCAATACCATTCTGCTTCTCCTCCTTGGATCTCCTCTTCTTTCTCTTCTTTCGATTTTGTGTTACCGTCGTGATTTCACCAACAGATACCAAAGATAATTGGCCAGATTGAGGGTGACCGCCAGCAACATCATTCTGTTTCTCCTCCTTGGATCTCCTCTTCTTTTTCTTGTTTTGAATTTGTGTTACCGTAGTGATTTCAGCTCCCTGTCCAATGATTTTATATGCTTCTCTCACCATGCTCATCCCTGGGGAAGCAATTTTACCCTCTACGACTTCAGAGAAAAGAGACGATGAGATCCTCTTGTCCCCTTTGGTGTTAGCCGCAATGTGCAATAGCACAAGTTGATGTGCGAAACTAGATAGTTTAGGTCCAGAAACAGACTTTGGCATCAACCTACAATACAATAGTTCAATATTAGCAAACAAACAATAGAAGGAACAAGATGTCGGCCAGAAATAACACACAGAACAGCATTCTTATTTGGTAGTAAAGACATGAGGGCACCAATGACTGCAAAACCAATCTGTTCAATCTGATTTCTAAGCAGAAAAAGAAGCATTAGTCACTCGAACACCAAAACTTAGTAAATGGCATATATAATGTTAAAACAGGGAATGAAATGAATCTTGGCTGCCATCAGGCTTCAAAATGGACACAACAGATATGAAGAACAGAAGCATTAGTCAAAAACCAAAAAATTAGCAAATGGCCTATCTGTTGTCAACACAAAGGGTACCATCACTGGAGCTAATATAAGTGAATCTTGGCTACCATTAGGCTTTCAAATGCACACATTAGAAATAGATACGAAGTGGGAACAGAAACAGATGTTGTAATAAATGAAAATGAGTAATTCCAATGGACTTTAGCTTATTCTTTTACTTGCATAAATGGACATTTGAGTTACTTACTTTCTAGAACACAGAAGGAAAGATGCTCCATCATACAGAGAAACTTGTGGAGGTACGATATCCTTCTTGCTCACAGACTGACAGCAAAGAAAACCTCAAGTCAAAATCTAACTTAACCTAAGCTGAACACAAAGAAAGACAAGACATTAAATGTCCTCCACACTACACACCTTGTCAGGCAAGATCACCCCTTCTGGTAGGTTAGAAATGTGACGATGAGAAGGAGGATACTTGTAGAAGACAGTTCTGTTACAAGTGTCAGAGGAGAATCAAACAATAGTTATGTAATATGTACAGAAAAATACCAGTTCATCAGATCCAGAAACTTACATGACTCCAATATTTGCAAGTGCCGGCCAGCAATCAATTGGTGAACAAATTTCCCTAGGCCAGACAGGATTTTGGTCGATGCAAATGTATCCATTCATCCCACCACTGGAAATTGTGAGAATAAGTCAGGGAACACTTTACATCGAGAAACTTAAGAACCACATATATGGAAGTGATTGCCAGATGAAATGCGCATCAACAAGACACAGAACACAGAGAGACGGTAACTTCTATTTCAATTACAAGCCAAAACATAACAGCTGTCATTTCCAACCCAGTCAGATTCCGTTAAATGTATCTTCATCGGCGTACGACAGAGTGGCAACCGTACACAAATCATTAAGACACGCAAATACAATAGCATAACTTCTAACAACCTTTCTTATAAGCAGAGCCCAGCAATGGGACCAACAGTAACATTAAATTGAGACCGGCTGCATACCTGGTTTTTGGGTCGATTTCCAGTTCTGCCTTCACATCCAGCAATTCCAACTGAGAACTCTTATCTGAGAATGATACAATTACGATTGCCAGAGGATTCGATTTATGAACAAACAAGATGTCCCAACCCAAGCTGTTTCTCCTTTTCTCGTCATCCTGATGATGGAAGATGTCATGAGCAACAAGAGGAGTAAAGAAGCACAGATACGACACATCAAAAGATTTTACATATCCAAACAAACAAACAAAAAACTCCAACTAATATTGACTAACAGAATCCAATTTTGAAGCACTATCATTAGAGATTCAGGCTAGTATAGAGCAAGCAAACACGTAGATTCAACCATATATTTAAGACTTATTTTCCAAGAGTACTTTTCTACTTGGGTCTAGGTTATGCAAGAGTCAACAAATCAGAGAAAAGAGATCCAGTCCAGGTGTCCCATTTTTAAACAATAAGTTGCTAATTTGGTTAGTACACTACTGGGCTGCAATCTAGATGGACGGATTTTCTGATTCAGCGTGGCACACATAAGTCAGCTTCCTCTACTTGGCGAATATGATTATTACACTAGTTAGTTGAGTCCCTTAGTTTATTTAGTGTGGTCCAACTTCCTTGATTCTCTGCTTCATCTATTTCAAGTTGATGGGTAAATATCTGGCATTTTAAACTCTCATGATATTTCCTTTGTCCCATCTCATATACCAATGAGGTTAGTTAGCCTGAAACATCTCTGACAATATGGCCAGAGGTTGTCTCTTACATCTAACCAGTACTCGTATTTTAATTTCGCTGATCAAAACAACAGCCTTATGGATCGTTGCATATTTATCACAATGACATACACCCAAACATTGCACGATGTTTGTGAACATGGGTACATAAGGCCTCAAGTATGCCAACTCGAAAGAACAAAGAAGCAAATATGTCTGGGCTCACGTTGGTTGTCATCAACTCAGTACCAGTTACAATTAAAGTCTAGAAAGTACAAGATTTTGAATTATACAACACAAGACTTGTACAAGAGTAAAGCAGTATTACCGTTAATGTGTGCTCCAGTTTGGCAATTTCCGAAAGAAGCCGTGCCTCATCAATGAATGGCAATTTACAAATACCCTGACAATTGGCAGAAGAAAAGAAGCAACAGATAATGTCAAAACTTGCAAGAAACCAGTACAGAAATACTTAAGCCTTAAAAATAATCATGACCAATTGATCATTTATTACAATTACATAACAAAGGGGTTGATGCAAGCTTCACATGGATGTGTTAAGGCCAGTACCTGCCAAGAAAACCGCTTGCCATTCATATCAACTTCAAAATCTGCCAGAAATTTTAAAGCAATCAGATATCACCAAGAAGAATGGGGGAGAGAAGATCAAACAGATAGTTACACGGTAAATCCACATTACATACTCGCAGGATAAAAGTCAGCTATAGGTGATAAGCCATCCTTCATCAATTTCCCATAGGACAAAGGAAGAGAATGTGCACTGCAAGCACCATGTATGGATTAAACTTCATCATGAAAGAACTCAAGGACAACAAGAAATGTCAAGCTTAACAGACCTTGCAGCTGGAAGTACCCCCATTAATTGATCGAAAGGCTTGAAAGGTTTCCCAAGTGTGAATTTGATTTCTAGATTATCAAAACCATGAAAATCTGAAGCTAACGGTGCATAATAAAAAGGATAAAACCTGCATGCAGAAATTTGCTTCGGTAAGTTTGTTACTTCACACGACAGAGACAGAGAGAGATACAATTCTTAAGAAGGGCATTTTACGACATCAACGCATATCAATTGACAAGAAAAATGAAGTAGCATCCTAGTAGCCCAGTTAAACTACTCAGAATTCATGTTATTGGTCAAGAATAAAGCCAGAGAGGTTTGGGCCAAAATCTTCTTGCATAACTAAGGAACAGGTAGAAATTGCGGTGATTTGCCACATCCGGATCGAGCATTCAGACGCAAAAACGGCCAGACGCCTCACAGCATCTGTGGTTCTACTCAGGGCATCTTCAAGATGGAGTTGTAAGAGAAGAATAGAGACTCATGCAGGGAAATGACGATATTCAAACAGAAAAACCACTTACCATTGCCAGGAGCATACCCCTTCGTAGTAGTAGTGCATAACCCAGGATAGTCCTTCTATATATTTCTCTACCTATGTAAATTAGAAAACGACCAATCAACATAGTTGTCCAACGGAATGAATCCAGTATAAATTAGAGAACTTTTAGGGAGAGTTAAGGAAAGAAATTAAGAAACTGGACAACAATTACAATGGGCCAAAATCCTTGTCAAATGAAGAAAGAAAGCAGCGACTAAGTCATTTAGAAAAATTATGCAAGGAATCAAAAAAAGTAATGCACCAAAGTAGAATCAATGAAGAAAAATAAATAAATAAAATTCTCACCACTTGTCGCTGAATCCTCTCACATTCATTTTCCGAGTTAAGCTGAAAGTTATGCACATAGTATCTCTCTTTCCAACCATCTTCTCCAAGTTTAATCTACAATGACAATCATATCCCAAATTTTTAAAAACACCAAAGCATAGCAACTATTATCTAGACCAATATGAATATACCTTGTCCACCTCAGCAGCAGGGTCAATTTTAAGGCCATTAGCTGATCCTTGAGCGGCTACACTACCACCCTTCTGTGATCACGAGAGATATTAGCATGAGTTCTCCAATTAGAAAGAACAGCACCACATAACATTGGATATGCTTACTACTCACATTCTGCGGCTCCGACATGTGTTTGGTATCATGTCTGCGCTGCGAACCGCCCCATTCACTTGCTTTCTTCATCTGAGAAAAGGAATCATCACTAAAGACATACTACATAAAGACAAAACCATTGACCATAATGTAACAGGAGCTTCACGATTATTTTGATTCTGTGTGCCTGAGGTACATACATCGAAGGATTTGATATTTTTCATGAAGACAAAAATCATTGACCATAATGTGACAGGAGCTTCATGATTATTTTGATTCTGTGTGCTTGAGGTTCATACATTGAATGATTTTATAATATTTTATAAAGTGATGGAAACTTTATCTTAAGGTCCCACCAAAAGGTGTGAGAAGAAAGGAACAAGAAAAGACAAACAGTCAGAGAAAGGAGTACAACAGAAGCAAATCAAAAGAAAAGGAGAACAGGATAAAACAGAGCAAAACTAATGAAGGGCAGCGATGAAAATTGGTTATTCAAGCGAGCATTTTCTTCTTCTCTTTTGCATAAATAAAAGCATCGGATCGTTACAATGACTACCTTAATACGTTTCCTGAAAATTACACTCTCGTAAGATCCCAGAGCCTGGATGAAGTGCTCCATGCGTTTCAAATTTATCTGCAATACAAAAATACGCAAGGATCATACAGAACATCCTGGATGCGAACCATGATCAGGTCAGAAACAGATATGCTCCATATTTCAAACACGTCTCAACGTACAAACTACTGGGTGATTATACAAGGGCAAGTATTTTGCTTTAAAAGGGGGGAGAGAGGGTGGGGGAATAGTCAAGGAGAAGTCATAGTTAAAAGTGCCAGGCACCAGAGAGACGGAAGAAGAATGTGATGCTGGCTACTTCACAAAAAAAAATGATTGATGTCAAACCTCATAAACACAACTAAGAACCAATAAAGTAGTCTGTTAGCCTAACAAACAGAAGAGGTGAAGACTTTATACTAAGCATACAACATCTGGAATCCTAGATGTTCACCTTAAAAGAATCAGTCAGGTAACCACCCATCCGGACGAACTCCTTTTTGTAAAGCATCAAAAGCAAATCAATAGCCCCCTGTAAACAACATAAACAGAAAAACAACATAAATGAGGACAAACTACAAAAAGGTATAGCTTCCTGAAGGAATATCCATGGTTAAATACAAAAAAATGACTGATAATATGTGCAAAACAAGGGAAATCTTGAAAGTGCAATACAATGTAATGTATGATTTTCCAACATCGGCTATGCAAAAAGTTGAGCTTACTGGCACTACCAAATAACCAGAAAATTCAGTTTTCAGTGTCAAAAGTACTAGAGAGCCATATTGAGATGGAGCACCACCAGGATAATTAGATTAATTGCAAAGATCCAACACCAGAATCACACACTTCTTCTAATGAAGCGTGAAAAGTTAAGACCCCCAAGATTTACTGGATTAAAGATTTTAAAAATTTTAAAATTCACATCATAAAGCCCCATATCAGTGCATGCAGCTTTGCATGAAAGCATTATATGACTACACAAAAAAATGAAAACAAAAAAAATAAGGACCTCAAATTCCCACCTCAGAGATTGCCAATGATGGTATGTGTGGCAGAAAATCATTTCCGACAAGCAAACACATGAAAACAAAGTCATCAATCAAACGCTCCAGATCTGTGTCAGATGTTGAGTCCGGGATTCTTAAATCGTACATTAGATATTCTCTCAGAATCCAAACATGGAGGAACTGCCAGATAAGAAAAGGAAGAAAATCAGCAGGCTCAAAACTGCACCGCGCTATAGAACAACGGAAGTATCAACATCAAATGGTGGATTCAGCTATGAACTTCAGAATTTCACAGTTAATTGGGAGAAGAAATATCTAGGAAACAAGGTTTCACTACTTCAGAATGCTAAACCATGTTGTACTGCATTAAGTATGTGAAATATAGCAACCAAAATTGAAATATAATAGAACATCCTGCTTCCATTTACACCACAATTGGAGAAAGTTATATTTCTCTACTTCAAGCCAACTGTTGCATGATCTACCAAAAGCGTTTAAGTTCCCAAATAGCCTATAGAAAACAAAAGAGATACGTTACCTGAAATTTTCTCTCAGAAATGAAGTGTGCTAAATTGTCCAAGAAAGCTGGCGATTGCTGAGAAATTCCTGATTTTGTCAGAAAACTTCCCAAGTCATGACCACTTTTTGTACCATTGTCTCTAGAGGTAATCTTACGTACTTCCTGTGACACAAAGAAAATGAATAAAGATGAAGACTAGATGCACAATTTCAGAATGCTATTGAGTATAAGAACAGAAGGCTACTGCAGGCACAAACCTCTCTCAGGACTGAAAAATGAATTTCGTGACTGGCCAAGGCAAGCATGATTAGATCTGCATCCTAATAAGGAAAAAATAACAGAAAAGAAATCAGCAACATAAAACATACTTGGTAAATGGCATCTCTAGTAGTCCCATTTATAGACAAAGACATTTACCAAACCATACAAACAATGCCGTGTGTTTGGATTGAAGCCAGGGAGATTTCTTTGCAAGCGTATGTATGACATTATCTTATGCTCCCCTTCACCAGGAACACTGGCATCAGAAAGAATGACCTAGAAAGACCAATTGACATATATGTACGTTCAGGAAAGTAAGGAAAAAGAAAACAGATATATGCAAGTTCAAACATTTGGTAGTTACCTTTATTCCTTTCCACCCTTCCTCCTCATTCATGCGCAAGTTAATATAATAACGGAGGGCTGAAGACAATAATTCCATAAACTCAGTTCCTGGAGTGATTACATTCGAATCCAACTTCTTTGATTGCTTTTCGGCCGGCAATTCGTTTTCCCCTGATTCATGACTCTCAGCCTTGAGAGAGGCCTGAATATTGTCAAAATTGTTACAGGAAAAGACTCTTACTAAGCAATCCAAAGAACGCAAGCACGCCAAAGTGGTTAAAATCATAGGCCGAGCTTAAATTAGACGACAAGGATCTGGAGAAACTCACTTCATCTTCCACTTCCTTAGCAGTCTTAAACCTCCTGGACCGTTGTTGATTCATCTTGGCACGTGGAGCAACACCATCTAACCAAATCAATTAGGAAAAAAGAACGATTTCATTCGGAACAGCAAAAGCCAACCAGAGAGAGGCCATGTATGCATTTCAGTTCATTCGCTCCATTTCAACTCAAACTGAAGTTAAGGAAAGCTGGAGAAGAGGAGTTTGTTGAGGAAACTTACCAATGGCCAAGTAAAGAAGCTGGCGAGGACGAACTATACTAAAGACTCTATCAATGTACATAAACACCGCCTGGAAGACTTCATCGTAATCGCTCGGAGGCGGCTGACGCAGCAACGATAACAAACTCAGGCACTCAGCAACAACAACAAAGAAACGCGATACCACTGAAAAATTGGGAAAAGAACACAAAAAAAAAAAAACGAAGTAATCGAAAGCAGAACTGTACCAGTCCTTCGGGATGGAAGCAAGGGTGGATTATTCCATTCATGTCTAGGTAGAGATTGTCGAACTCGTAACCGTTAGGGTTAGGGAGGGAGACATCGACGGGAACGGGACGGTCGCTCTCGATCAACGGAGTTTCTTCCACCACGTCGGCCACCGAGCGCGGGTACCTTTCAACCAGCCACCGGTAGAAAGACGGTATTCCCATGGTGGCTAGCCTCGCAACAAAAGTAACGAAAACAATAACTTATAGCCGGCAGCGGCCGAGCATTTGCTGTCTATTACTGCTCGTATGCTCCAGCAGCGTGCTCCTTAGGGTAGGTTGTCTTTCGAGCAAACAGGAAGAAGAAGAAGAAGAAGAAGAAGAAGAAACCGTTAACCAGAGAGAACCGGTGGGTTGTATATCTTCAGCGTCCAGCGACACCTAGGTTTTACTTTCCCAGTGCTCCGGCTGGGAGAACGGACCGGTTCCGTTACTAGCCATATCTCTCTTTTATTTTAACCAGCATAAACCCTGCCCTTTTTTATGGTTAAACCCTGCCCATGGGTTTAAGTGTATTTTTGTTTCATATTTAAGTGTATTTTTATTTTATAGATATTTGTGAATTTGATTTACCGATATTTATTAATATTTTAATCGATAGTATTTGGATAATTTGATTTGGTTAATTTAGATAACGGTTTGGTTTGTTATATTTTTTACTGTGTTTGGTGTAGGTGGTAATGCAACCTTAGGGGGTGGTTTTAATCAAAGTACGCAGCTATTGATTCATTAAACAAAACATCGAACCAAAAAAAAAAATTCTTGGGTGTTCTGGGATAAAAACGAAACCAAAAGGACAAATTCACACCTGAGGATAGCTCGATTGGGTTAAAGGGTAGTTGTTCGACCACGATCGAAGGGACTATTCATCGATACAAAACTCAGCAAGTTTGGAATCCTCCAAACCCTCACAAGTACGCAAACTTGCACAAACCAAAAGGCTCAATTCAATACGTCAAAATTCTCTCTAACTTTATAACGCAAAGAAAAAGGCTATTTATAGCCAAGTAACCCTAATTACAATCCTAAAAGAACAATGAAACTAATTGGATCAGAAAATGTCTAAATAATTTGTGTAAAATAAATCTGCAAAGTAAGCACAAGAAACTGTTTTGACACTTAGCCAAATTCTGCCTCTTTTCTTACCAACTTTGACAGCTTCTTTGGCATGTAATAAAACTTGTAGAATTGACCATTTGGGATCATTCTAGGCTTCCACTCTTCAAAAATCTTTGCCCTCAGAGCATGTATGATTCTGCAAGCCATAACTCGATCAGAAGGGTCTCAATTTGATGCATTTGGGGGAGTATGGACTAGCCTAGACAGTAAAAAGTCATAAGAGCTATACAGAAGCAATGCTAGTAAAACTCAAAGTTTTACGAAGACATGACAAAGGGGGAGAAATTAAGAGATATCATGCTCGGATTGTCATAAAGGTCTTCGCATGACATTGAATGCGAGAAGACCCTCATATGGTGGATATGACTTTTAGCAGTATATAAAAGTTAAGCATCTAATGAAATATGTTACAACGCACTTATTAAGCATGCTTGACAAATGATATCGATATGAAACTCTCTGAAGGAGTTAGTTTGCACGAAGCAAACATATTAAGGTTCTCGGGAACATTGATTTTCCGAAGTGAAGAGAGTTTGATAAAAATCAATGGCAATGTCAACTTTCCCTCTTTTCTCAGTGATCCATTCCCCATTATCATTTCGCAAGCCGAACACAAAATTTCATTTTCGACGAGCCCATTTTTTCTTCTTTCTTTTCACAAAAAATTGAAAACACCAAAATGTTCATAATTCTTGATAAATTAGAAACACTTAAGTTTTCATTTTCTTTCTCCCCCAAAAAATTAAAAGCATATAATTTCCACATTCTTTCCTCTCCAAAAAGTTGAAAATCCAAAAACTTCCCTAATTATTTCTCTTTTCATAAAAAAATATCAAAATTTTCTGCCTTTTTCACTTCTCATAAATCAAAAGCACAAAATTTTTCTTCTTTCGTTTCCAAAACTATGAAATTAAAATTTTCATCTTTCCTTGTTTCTTCTCAAAAATTTGAAAACACAATCTTCCTCCTTTTAAAATAATCAATTTATCATATATATTTACTTTAATTTATTGCTAACTATGTTGAATAGTTAAATTAACTAGAATTTTAATGTATATGTACAATATAAATGTTATACATGGTTTCATTTGTTAAATATTCATTATTAATATTGTCATTATGCTGTTTTTATATTTTATATTTATTTTAAAATTTTGTTAAAGAATTTTTTGTTCAAGTGAACTCAATGTTTTCTTATTTGCAATTTTATTAAAAATACATATTCTCAAGTGAATTTCTTTTTTTTCGTTAAAAATACGTATTATTCATTATTAATATTTTCATTATGCTGATTATATATTTTTATATTTATTTTTAAATTTTGTTATTTTTTTTCAAGTGAACTTAACGTTTTCATATTTGCAATTTTATTAAAAATACATATTTTCAAGTGAATTTCATATCTTGAACTTCCTTTTAAAAAATGAAAAATGATTTTACCTAACTTTAAAACAAAAAAGTTAATTTTGAAAGACTATAATTCTATAATATAATATAGTAATTGTTCAAGTCAATTCGTTACGAGTTTAGTTGAGTTGCGGGTCAATCATGTTCGGATCAATTAGATTACTTATAAGTTAAGTTGCGGATTAATCAGGTTGAACGTCAATCAGATTACAAGCTAGGCATACACACAATAATTTTAGAGTAAATACAATTTAATATCCAAACCTTTCATCTTAAACAATATAATAGCCAAACCTTTTCTAAAACAATCTAATATCCAAATCGTCAACTTTCCGTTCGTTTGACCGTTAGTTGACACTTCAAAAAGCTTTGTTTAGGAGAAATTGTCACAATACAACTTTGTTTTCTTGTTTTGGTATTGCAGATGACTAAATATTTAGATATTCTATACCATCATGGTGGAGTCATGGACTTCTCGGGTTTGGAACTACGATATGTTGGTGGTTTTTGAGAAGATATCGATGGATATTGATGAAGTGTCGTGCTTCGAACTTTTTTGAAGTGTCAACTAACGGTCAAACAGACAGAAAGTTGACGATTTGGATATTAGATTGTTTTCGAAAAGGTTTGGCTATTGTATTGTTTAAAATAAAATGTCTGGATATTAAATTGTATTTACCCTTAATTTTAATCAATTCAAATTACAATCGAGTTGCAAATCGGGTTGACGCGGATTACTCAATCGGGTTCTTGTTTGGACACCTCTCACAAGTACATGGATTTCATTGTATCCTCCCCTCGCAAAATTGCCATCCTTCTGAGCCCAAAACGGGCAATCACCCCCGACAAAAGTCAATTTAGCTATCCTACTAACAGGCATTTTTGTTAGTAGATACTAACAAAGCCGGACGTGCCTCCACGTCACCAAGGCCCTGAAAAGAAAAATGGGCCCGCAGGGCCCCCAAATTCAAAAAATCCAAAATTTGAATTCCCAAAACCCAACCCCATATTTGCCGCAAAAGTTAGACTGCTAACAAGCGTTTTTGTTAGCAGATACTAACACGGGCCAGATTTAAGCCACGTCCCAATTGCTGCGATCCAAGGGCCGAGGATGTCGGGCTTATTAATTGGTTGCTGATGGGCCTAGAAGGAAGGGGGTTGTTTTGGGCGGGAGCAGGCAAATGGGAAAAGTGGGCCCGCTAGGGGGTTTGGGCGGGAGAAGGTAAATGAAAAAAGTGGGCCAGGGTGTGTGATTAAATTGGCAAATAGAAAACTAAAAAATGGGATATCATAAACCATTTATTGCCCAACCACCCAACTCTCTCTCTCTCTCTTCGTAATTCTCCCTTTTCCGTCACCTGCAGCGGGAAATGCTGCCGCCACCAACCGAACAGTAATTCCGGCCACCGTCTTTTCCTTTCCGGTGAGCCTTGTCCACGATCTAGAATGCTGATCGACGAGAATGGTGAGTTGGATGATCAACGAGCTTCTCCAATGAAGAAGGATAAGCCGATCATCCAAAATAGTGAAGAAGAACCCTATCCTACTACACATATGAGTTTGTTGATGAAGATTCAGGTGGTGCTCCTACCGTCGATGAAGAAGAAGAAGAAGAAGAAGAAGAAGAAGAAGAAGAAGAAGAAGAAGAAAATAAAGTTTGATTGAGTAATTTATATATATGTTTGTGTTGTTGTGAGATTGGTTGGTTGCATTGAATACCATTTAATATTATTGGTGTTGTTATGGGGTACTGATACTGATACGGGGTTCATGGATACGACCGACTTAGATGTTTGATATTAGTCTGGACATGTTGGACGTGGTGTGTAACCTACTGTTTAATACCCCTGTTTGATACTAGTCTGGTACTTATGGATATTATTTCTTAAAGACTGGATATTTGTTGAAACTTATGTACTCTAACAGTTTGTGGGTAATATTTCATTTGTTTATTGGACAATATGGATAATAACATGTCTCATACCATTAACTCGCAGCTCATAACACGTTGGACCTAGAAGATGAGGAAGCGAGGAAGAACATCTTTTATCGCACTGAGGATGAGTGCTTGGATTTCTATAAACGCTATGCTCACAAAAAAGGGTTTGGTGTTCGAATAGATGGGGAACACCTAAAAAAAAGGAAGAATTCTAATGGAGTGGTGGAGACAAATTATTTGTACATTTATTACTTTTGTAATAAGGAAGGTTGGACAAGCACTAGTGAAGTAAATGTCAATGTGGACAAACAGAGATAGCCGGAAGACAAAGTTGTGGAGAGAAGGCGCCCTAAAAGAAAGAGGGCTCGCGTTAGGGATGGATGTCCCGCTCGTGTTCATTTTCGATGGGATGCTACTAGGGACGGATTTGTGGTGTATGAATTCGTAGAAGCCCACAGTCATGATTTGCACTCAACCGAGCATATGCACTTGCACAAGTCCAACAAGTGCATGAGTGATGCTCAGAAAAAGATGGCCGAAGCTAATCACGATGCCGGGATGAGTCTTAGTGCATCGTATCAATTATTGGCTGACTGTGCTGGTGGCTATCAAAATATGAGATTTACCAAATCCGATCAGAAGAACCACTTGAACAGTAAAAGGCAAAGGAATATGGCTCGTGGCGAAACGACTTATTTACTTGACTACTTTGAGGACCAAAAAGAAAAGCATCCTGGCTTCTTTTATGCTGTAGAGGTAGATTGCGAGGAGAAAGTTGCTAATATCTTTTGGGCGGACAGTAGGATGCGTGAAGATTATGCGCTTTTTGGTGATTCAGTCTCCTTTGATACCACCTTCCGAACCAATAAATACTTCCGTCCACTGGGTACGTGAACTACCTAACGAAGAAGATGTTTTTTCAACACTCGTTTGGTTATACATTGTCATTAATAGAATGTAAGGTGGTTCGAGAGTGGTCTGTTGTGATCCGATATTGACATGTGATGACAGGATATGCTTTTGTAACTGCTAGGATACTAGTCTGTCTTTAAGGGATACTAGTCTGGGCTTTACAGATATTTGTTGACATGTGTTGGCACACTAGCAAGTCCTAACACATAAGGCTTGCAACCTTAGTTAGGGCTGCCCGCCGAGGGCCCAGGGGCCGAGGGCCCAGGGGCCGAAGGCCCATTAAATAGAAATGGTTATGAATAAAATGTAGGGTGGTTCGAGAGTGGTCTGTTGTGATCCGATTTAACATGTGATGACAGGATATGCTTTTTTAACTTGATGGATATTTGTCTGTCATATTGAGATACTAGTCATAGCTTTACAGATATTTGTTGACATTTGTTGTCATTAATAGTTGTCTTGTGCAGGGATGTTTGTAGGTTTCAATCACCACCGTCAAACTTGTGTGTTTGGTGCTTGTTTGATGTATGATGAGACTACACCGTCTTTTGAATGGTTGTTTGTTGTCGGTGCATGAAGAAGAAGCTCCCAATCACTATTTTTACTGATCAGGACGCCGCCATGGCAGCTGCCCTTAGAAAGGAGTGGCCTAAAACGTTTCATGCACTCTGTATTTGGCACATCCTCATGAATGCCAAGAAGCATCTTCGTAAAGACAAGGCATTTTGGAAGAAGTTCCAAACTCATCTTTCTTATATTTTCTATAACGTCGACAGTGAGAGAGAGTTCGACATGGCATGGAGCACAATGGTTGCTGATTGTTTCCCTAATAGAGAAATTGCGGACGGTCACCCATGGTTGGAATATTTGAAGAAATTTCGCCATCAATGGTGTTCCTTATGGTTGAGAGATCAATTCACAGCCGGGATGTTGACTACGCAAGCCAGCGAGTCGTGCAATGCACAAGTGCGACGTTTCTTGAAACCGAAGCATGATTTGGACATGTTTTTCATTCATTTTAGCAGGTACGTACGCAATATATATCTTTGCCTTTCTGTGATATTAGCTTGTCCGTTCTGGATATTTTTCATTGTCATATGGATATTAATATGCTCTTGTTAAATATTATTTTGTGTTGGTCTGATATTAGTACTACTGTGAGTGGATATTAGTCTGGGCACTAATCTCTTTTCTCTTGCTTTCTAAATGTAGTTTGGTTGCTAAAAAAGACGCAAGGAGAGTGATTCAGACTACAGTGGGAAACAATCGGTTCCCTATATAATGTTGGAGCATAGCCCGATCCTAAAACATGCGGCAAAGATCTTTACTTCTAACATCTTCAATCGGATACAACAGGAGTATTTGAAAACTGAAAAATATATAATGGAGACGCTCTCGGATACTAGGGATGATGGCATGATTGGCTACCGCACATATATGATAGAGGATGGTGAGCGTAGTGATGAGCGTGTCGTTCTCGTCGATATTTCTACGAGGACATTGGTATGCGAATGCAAAATGTTTAGAACTTTCGGAGTGTTATGCCGCCACATGATTAAGGTGATGCGGCTTCTTGGAGATTTTGGGGAAGCTAGTATGAGAAGTGTTCCAGATCATTACATACTCAAGCGATGGACGTTAGAGGCGAGAAAGAAAGAGGTTGTTGATGTCGATGGTTCTGTTGGTCCTTCAGCTTCTAGTGAGAATGATGCGGGAAAAGATATAGCAATGCGGTACCGAGAAACCACTGCAATGTTGAATCAGCTAGCAACGAACATGTCGATGGCCGATGAGAAGGACTATAATAAGTGGATGGGAGTAATCAAGAAATTTTGCAATGAGGCAAACAAGGCATTGTCAAAGACTATTACTAGCAAGGACAGTAAGTATATTCACTAATATCATTTGTAAATTGTTAGAGTTTAATATCATTGCATTTACTAAATTCTCTACCATTGTAGGACGGAATGTACCGATAACTGGGCTGACTTTGAAGAAGAAGAGTAATCCAAGGAGCCAAGGTAAGGAACGATATAAGTCTACCAATGAAAAAGAACGCCGTCGAAAGAAACGTGTCTATAAGAAGAGAATGAAATCAGTTGAAGTGGTCACGCCGGACAATAATACTCAACCGGATGACCATATTAGTGATTTGGATGATAATATTGCTCAATGGTTATGAATAGAATGTAGGGAGGTTCGAGAGTGGTCTATTTTGATATGATATTGACAAGTGATTCCAGGATACGTTTTTGTATAGAAGTGGATATTAATCCACTTGTAAAGGATACTTGTCTGGACAAACTTGATATGCACTCTATTTTGTACAGATATAGGTCTGGGTTTCCTGGATATCAGTATTTTCAATGCAGGTACAATTGTACCAATGATTACTTATTTCACTATTCACATGTGACCTTTTTTGTTACTGTACTCATGTGATCTTTTTTGTTACTGTGCTCATGTGACCTTTTTTGCATTTGTCTATTTAAGACAAATCATACACAACCCAAATCGGCTATCCTCCTCTCTCAGTTTCTTCTTCACTTCTCTTCCAAAGAAAAATCCATGTCTGGAGAGACTCCTAAACAGGCGCGCCGGGGATTGGTGGATGAGTTTGAATATGACGGTGTTGTACTCTGTTACCATGGTTGGAGAGCCGCCAAACGACTTGCTGTTGATGGAGTCAACCCACCGAAGAGGTATTTCCGGTGTCGGATGTACGAGTAAGACAATGCTAACGGGTGTGGTTTTCGCATGGATTGGGACGAAGTAATGTTCCCCGATTTTTCAGAGTCGGATGATAAAAGCAAGTGAATGGGGCGGTTCGCAGCGAGCCGCCAAACGACTTGCTGTTGATGGAGTCAACCCACCGAAGAGGTATTTCCGGTGTCGGATGTACGAGTACGACAATGATAACGGGTGTGGTTTTCGCATGGATTGGGACGAAATAATGTTCCCCGATTTTTCAGAGTCGAATGATAAAAGCAAGTGAATGGGGCGGTTCGCAGCGCAAACATGATACCAAACACATGTCGGAGCCGCAGAATGTGAGTAGTAAGCATATCCAATGTTATGTGGTGCTGTTCTTTCTAATTGGAGAACTCATGCTAATATCTCTCGTGATCACAGAAGGGTGGTAGTGTAGACGCTCAAGGATCAGCTAATGGCCTTAAAATTGACCCTGCTCCTGAGGTGGACAAGGTATATTTATATTGGTCTAGATAATAGTTGCTATGCTTTGGTGTTTTTAAGAATTTGAGATATGATTGTCATTGTAAGGTTAAACTTGGAGAAGATGGTTGGAAAGAGAGATACTATGTGCATAACTTTCAGCTTAACTCGGAAAATGAATGTGAGAGGATTCAGCGACAAGTGGTGAGAATTATATTTTTTTATTTTTCTTCATTGATTCTACTTTGGTGCATCATGTTTTTTGATTCCTTGCATAATTTTTCTATATGAATTAGTCGCTGCTTTCTTTCTTCATTTGACAAGGATTTTGGCCCATTGTAATTGTTGTCCAATTTCTTAATTTCTTTCCTTAACTCTCCCTAAAAGTTCTCTAATTTATACTGGATTCATTCCGTTGGACAACTATGTTAATTGGTCGTTTTCTAATTTACATAGGTAGAGAAATATATAGAAGGACTATCCTGGGTTATGCACTACTACTACGAAGGGGTAACTACGAAGGGGTATGCTCATGACAATGGTAAGCGGTTTTTCTATTTGAATATCGTCATTTCCCTGCATGAGTCTCTATTCTTCTCTTACAACTCCATCTTGAAGATGCCTGAGTAGAACCACAGATGCTGTGAGGCGTCTGGTCGTTTTTGCTTCTGAATGCTCGATCCGAATTGTGGCAAATCACCACAATTTCTACATGTTCCTTAGTTATGCAAGAAGATTTTGGCCCAAACCTCTCTGGCTTTATTCTTGACCAATAACATGAATTCTAAGTAGTTTAACTAGGCTACTACTTCATTTTTCTTGTCAATTGATATGTGTTGATGTCGTGTGAAGTAACAAACTTACCGAAGCAAATTTCTGCATCCAATTTACAATCGACCCTCTGATCCTTGAGGAACTTCGTCACATACTCAAAAATCACTTTCCCCACTGGTGCATGATCCTCCTTAGCAACTCGGGCATTGGGCTGTCGAGTAGGAAAGTCTTCATATTCTTCATGTCAGCGACATACACTCGGTAGTGATCTTTTCGATACACTCGGTAGTGATCTTTTCGATACATTGGAAAGAAGATCTGAAACACAATACAGTTAGTGAGTTAATCATTGACTAATATCCTAACAACCCAGATTAATATCTCAACAACCCAGAATAATATCCTATAAACACAGACCAATATCAAGGAAAGTCAGAAAAATATCCAAACATTGAAGACACTTACATAATCGCATCTTTCCAAGTTTTCCCGTTTCAGCAATGGATTACTCTTGTGCATAGAAATATGCGCCGAGACTCTCGCATTGTCCATGGGTTGCTTTTTTTATAGCATTAGCGACGGCATGTTGCTATTTAGAAGAGACAACAATATCAAATTAGACATTTTCAGCATAAATAGGATCTAAGTAGTGAAGATAATACTTACCACATAGCTCCATGGGAACACAATTCTCTTCACCATCTCCTTACGTTCTTCTTGGTCATTTAGGAATTGCCCGTATACTAAAATGACTTAGCTATGAACCCAAGTTTTACGCTTCAATGACAATATTTGGCAACGGCTAAGCTTGCCCTTTGGAGTTTCCACGATATAGTCGTGACTGTAAAAGACAAATGAAAAACCAGGTTAGCAGCCATGAATTTGACAGATTGAAATTGACGATTAAAGAAGGAAACATGACAACTTACTCATCTTCAGCTGTGGTACTGAAGAGGAACTCAACCACTTGCTGTGCCGCAACGTCGAGTTTCGTCAACAGAGTCTTCGGCAAAACGTACACTGATGAGTCGATTGGGTGATGTTTTGACCTCTCGAATGCAGGAGTTTTTAGAGTTTCCTTCCATGATTCTGGTGTGATAGAATGCATAAACTCTGTCGCCTCCTTGCGTTAGAACCTTAGTAGCATCAGTTGCCTCGACGTGTATCTGCAAAACATTGCAAAAGGTTAGTATCTACTAAAAAAGAAACAAATATCCTAGAAGCCCGGACTAGTATCCATAACAAAGAAAAAAATATCCAGAAAGCCCAGGCTAGTGTCAATAACAAAGAATCAAATATCCAGAAAGCCTAGACTAGTATCTACTTAAAATGTAATAAATATCCTGGAAGTCCAGGCTAGTATCTACTGGTAAGGGAAATATTACCGTTGTCGGAGATGTCCTTATACTGGCGTCAGCCGCAGCAGTGGCCTGGAAACCAATCTGCATTACATCAACGAATGTAGTTTGCGGGTCGGTATAATGCATGTCCATTACCTCCGACTCCATCGCTTCAACCACTTCATCAACTGTTGATGTAACTGCTGGCACCTCCAACTCCTGAACAACTGGCAAAACATTCTGCTTACTTCTTTTCCTGGAGTATACACGGCCAAACATGTTGTTTTCTCTCACAGTACCCTTGTCCTCCATGACAACTCCCCGATCTTCCTCCTCCATGACAACTACCTCCTCTTCCTCCTCCATTACAACTACCTGATCTTCCATTTTAGCTTTTGCTGCTGCTACCAAAGATGAAGAAAATTCTGCCAATCTGCCCCGATACCCGTCAAGCTCAGCACCCACAAAGTCGAGCTGGAAAACAGTGCAGGCATGTAAAGGTTAATATATCCGGACTGCCCAGGTAAGTATCTAACAATGAACCAACTAATATCCACGAGAACACATTAATATCCGTTTGTGAAAGAGTTAATATCCTGAAGTTTTGTACAGGTATCCAGAAAGCCCAGACTATTAACTTGTGCTTTCATTCCAATATCCATAATGCAAAATATCCAGATTGAAAATAACTACTACCCGTTATAAAAACAATTGTCTTTCATGCAATTCATAAATAATATCCAAAACAAATACACACCAATATCCAAACTCAACAAGAAACAAACTTTTGTTCGATACAACGATTGTTCAAAGCCATTCCAACATGGCAATTATATCATTCAATAAAGCTCCATTACAACCACTTAATGATGTTGAAACATGCAAAGTTCAATTCTTGTCTTGCTGGCGCTTAATGGCAACCCTTCGGACACTTTCCCGCCATGAATCCCACTTATCCATCACTTTTTCGGTCAAGGACTGCAGTACCTTAAGCTACACATACATCCCAAAAAATTTAGTTTACTACATGCACTCGTGTCTACTAAGGGCCTCGATTTCCGATTTAAAAGACAATATCTATATACCTCGTCGGTATCAAGGGACTCCAAGTCTGTTTCCTCCAACCATTCTGTCGTGTATAATCGCGGAGTAGCTGTATGAAGAGCCGAGCTGCTTGTTCCTGATTCCCACTCCCTCCTGCCACGTCCTGGAAAGAAGCGAGATCGGACTTCTTCTCTCGACAGCAACACGGGAGCCACATCATATAACTCCGCCTTAGGGACAGCCAAGCATAGGTTATCCACCCTTGGTTCAAACCAATAGCTGCAGCTGGGGATTGTATTTGTGGCGAATCCTCTCACCTTAAGGAAATCCATCAAATGAAACTACAAAAAAAGTGTATGTTACAAAAGATTTCCAATAAAAAACAACCAATATCCAGACAGCAAAGATTATTACCCAGTCATGCTAAAAAGATACCTTGTATAAATATAACTAATATGCCAAGAATGCTAAAAAATATACACATCTTTGCTATAACTTACCATCAAGAATTAGATATCCCCATTAACCCACTGCATCATCCGTCCCTTGGCCCTAACCTTAGCTTCTCTTTTTTCGGTAACAGTAAGCTCTACCTTCAGCTATCGGGCGACGTGACCACTCCAATTAAAAGTTCGAATGTCCTCAACCCTCCCCGTCAAGTACTCTGCATAGTCGAACTTACAAATTCGGGAGCTTGTTGGAACGAGCAACGAACCAAGAGCCACAAGTAGGAACTGCTTCACTGCAACTGCAACAGGTGGTCTCCTACTCTCTCTACCCCGACCTTTAGTCAACTTAACCATGTCCACAACTTTAACATTTCGTTCCCGATTACCCTCCATGCCGAGCTCTTCCTTCAGAACCTTGAGCATCGAGTTATTTGCCTTCACAAGATCAATCTCAGCACCGCCAAGAGGAATGCCGTATACACGGGCAGCATCCTCATCTTCAATGGTGAGCACCTGTTGCCCATCATCGTCTTCACCATCTTCGTCCTCACCATCTTCGGGCTCATTGCTCTTTGTTCATATCATCGTCCTCACCATCTTCGGGCTCATTGCTCTTTGTTCATATCATCGTCCTCACCATCTTCGTCCTCATCATCTTCGGGCTCATTGCTCTTTGTTCATCTAACCTCCAACAGGTGCTCACCATTGAAGATGAGGATGCTGCTCGTGTATACGGCATTCCTCTTGGTGGTGCTGAGATTGATCTTGTGAAGGCAAATAACTCGATGCTCAAGGTTCTGAAGGAGGAGCTCAGCATGAAGGGTAATCGGGAACGAAATGTTAAAGTTGTGGACATGGTTAAGTTGACTAAGTCGACTAAAGGTCGGGGTAGAGAGAGTAGGAGACCACCTGTTGCAGTTGCAGTGAAACAGTTCCTACTTGTGGCTCTTGGTTCGTTGCTCGTTCCAACAAGCTCCCGGATTTGTAAGTTCGACTATACAGAGTACTTGACGGGGAGGGTTGAGGACATTCGAACTTTTAATTGGAGTGGTCACGTCGCCCGACAGCTGAAGGTAGAGCTTACTGTTACCAAAAAAAGAGAAGCTAAGGCTAGGGCCAAGGGACAGATGATGCAGTGGGTTAATGTGGATATCCAATTCTTGATGATAAGTTATAGTTTAAAGATGTGTATATTTTTAGCATTCTTGGCATATTAGTTATTTTTATACAAGGTATCTTTTTAACATGACTGGGTACTAATCTTTGCTGTCTGGATATTGGTTGTTTTTTACTGGGATATCTTTTCTAACACACTTTTTTTGTAGCTTCATTTGATGGATTTTCTTAAGGTGAGAGGATTCGCCACAAATACAATCCCCAGCTGCAGCTATTGGTTTGAACCAAGGGTGGATAACCTATGCTTGGCTGTCCCCAAGGCGGAGTTATATGATGTGGCTCCCGTGTTGCTGTCGAGAGAAGAAGTCCGATCTCGCTTCTTTCCAGGACGTGGCAGGAGGGAGTGGGAATCAGGAACAAGCAGCTCGGCTCTTCATACAGCTACTCCTCGGTTATACACGACAGAATGGTGGGAGGAAACAGACTTGGAGTCCCTTGATACCGACGAGGTATGTAGATTATTGTCTTTTAAATCGAAAATCGATGCCCTTAGTAGACACGAGTGCATGTAGTAAACTAAATTTTTTGGGATGTATGTGTAGCTTAAGGTACTGCAGTCCTTGACTGAAAAAGTGATGGATAAGTGGGATTCATGGCAGGAAAGTGTCCGAAGGGTTGCCATTAAGCGCCAGCAAGACAAGAATTGAACTTTGCATGTTTCAACATCATTAAGTGGTTGTAATAGAGCTTTATTGAATGATATAATTGCCATGTTGGAATGACTTTGAACAATCATTGTATCGAACAAAAGTTTGTTTTCTTTTGAGTTTGGATATTGGTGTGTATTTGTTTTGGATATTATTTATGAATTGCATGAAAGACAATTGTTTTTATAACGGGTAGTAGTTATTTTCATTATGGATATTGGAATGAAAGCACAAGTTAATAGTCTGGGCTTTCTGGATACCTGTACAAAACTTCAGGATATTAACTCTTTCACAAACGGATATTAATGTGTTCTCGTGGATATTAGTTGGTTCATTGTTAGATACTTACCTGGGCAGTCCGGATATTAACCTTTACATGCCTGCACTGTTTTCCAGCTCGACTTTGTGGGTGCTGAGCTTGACGGGTATCGGGGCAGATTGGCAGAATTTTCTTCGTCTTTGGTAGCAGCAGCAAAAGCTAAAATGGAAGATCCAGTAGTTGTAATGGATGAGGAAGAGGAGGTAGTTGTCATGGAGGAGGAAGATCGGGGAGTTGTCATGGAGGACGAGGGTACTGTGAGAGAAAACAACATGTTTGGCCGTGTATACTCCAGGAAAAGAAGTAAGAAGAATGTTTTGCCAGTTGTTCAGGAGTTGGAGGTGCCAGCAGTTACATCAACAGTTGATGATGTGGTTGAAGCGGTGGAGTCGGAGTCAATGGACATGCATTATACCGACCCGCAAACTACATTCGCTGATGTAATGCAGATTCGTTTCCAAGCCACTGCTGCGGCTGACGTCAGTATAAGGACATCTCCGACAACGGTAATATTTCCCTTACCAGTAGATACTAGCCTGGACTTCCAGGATATTTATTACATTTTAAGACTTAAGTAGATACTAGTCTGAGCTTTCTGGATATGATTCTTTGTTATGGATACTAGCCTGGGCTTTCTGGATATTTGTTTCTTTGTTATGGATACTAGTCCGGGCTTCTAGGATATTTGTTTCTTTTTTAGTAGATACTAACCTTTTGCAATGTTTTGCAGATACACGTCGAGGCAACTGCTGCTACTAAGGTTCTAACGCAAGGAGAAGCAATACCATCAGAGGAGGAGCTTATAGCAGCAGCATGCCAGAGGATGATGGAGGATAGCGACGATGATATTGTCGTAAGTGAGAAGGCTATGACTAAGGAGGCGGCAGAGTTTATGCACTCTATCACACCAGAATCATGGAAGGCAACTCTAAAAACTACTACATTCGAGAGGTCAAAACATCACCCAAGCGACTCATCAGTGTACGTTTTGCCGAAGACTCTGTCGACGAAACTCGACGTTGCGGCACAGCAAGTGGTTGAGTTCATCTTCAGTACCACAGCTGAAGATGAGTAAGTTGTCATGTTTCCTTCTTTAATCGTCAATTTCAATCTGTCAAATTCATGGCTACTAACCTGGTTTTTCATTTGTGTTTTACAGTCACGACTACATCGTGGAAACTCCAAAGGGCAAGCTTAGCCATTGCCAAATATTGTCATTGAAGCGTAAAACTTGGGTTCATAGCCAAGTCATTTTAGTATACGGGCAATTCCAAAATGACCAAGAAGAACGTAAGGAGATGGTGAAGATAATTGTCTTCCCATGGAGCTAAGTGGTAAGTATTATCTTCACTACTTAGATCCTATTTATGCTGAAAATGTCTAATTTGATACTGTTGTCTCTTCTAAATAGCAACATGCCGTCGCTAATGCAATAAAAAAGCAACCCATGGACAAGGCGAGAGTCTCGGCGCATATTTCTATGCACAAGAGTAATCCATTGCTGAAACGGGAAAACTTGGAAAGATGCGATTATGTAAGTGTCTTCAATGTTTGGATAATTTTCTGACTTTCCTTGATATTGGTCTGGGTTTGTAGGATATTTTATTCTTCTTTATTGGATATTATTCTGGGCTGTTGAGATATTAATCTGGGTTGTTAGGATATTAGTCAATGATTAACTCACTAACTGTATTGTGTTTCAGATCTTCTTTCCAATGTATCGAAAAGATCACTACCGAGTGTATGTCGCTGACATGAAGAATAGGAAGACTTTCCTACTCGACAGCCAAAAGCCCAATGCCCGAGTTGCTAAGGAGGATCATGCACCAGTGGGGAAAGCGATTTTTGAGTATGTGAAGGAGTTCCTCAAGGATCAGGGGGTCGATTGTAAATTGGATGCAGAAATTTGCTTCGGTAAGTTTGTTACTTCACACGACAGAGACAGAGAGAGATACAATTCTTAAGAAGGGCATTTTACGACATCAACGCATATCAATTGACAAGAAAAATGAAGTGACAGCCTAGTAGCTCAGTTAAACTACTTAGAATTCATGTTATTGGTCAAGAATAAAGCCAGAGAGGTTTGGGCCAAAATCTTCTTGCATAACTAAGGAACAGGTAGAAATTGCGGTGATTTCCACAATCCGGATCGAGCATTCAGAAGCAAAAACGGCCAGACGCCTCACAACATCTTTGGTTCTACTCAGGCATCTTCAAGATGGAGTTGTAAGAGAAGAATAGAGACTCATGCAGGGAAATGACGATATTCAAACAGAAAAACCGCTTACCATTGTCATGAGCATACCCCTTCGTAGTAGTAGTAGTAGTAGTGCATAACCCAGGATAGTCCTTCTTTATATTTCTCTACCTATGTAAATTAGAAAACGACCAATCAACATAGTTGTCCAACGGAATGAATCCAGTATAAATTAGAGAACTTTTAGGGAGAGTTAAGGAAAGAAATTAAGAAACTGGACAACAATTACAATGGGCCAAAATCCTTGTCAAATGAAGAAAGACAACAGCGACTAATTCATTTAGAAAAATTATGCAAGGAATCAAAAAACGTGATGCACCAAAGTAGAATCAATGAAGAAAAATAAAAAAAATATAATTCTCACCACTTGTCGCTGAATCCTCTCACATTCATTTTCCGAGTTAAGCTGAAAGTTATGCACATAGTATCTCTCTTTCCAACCATCTTCTCCAAGTTTAACCTTACAATGACAATCATATCCCAAATTTTTAAAAACACCAAAGGATAGCAACTATTATCTAGACCAATATAAATATATCTTGTCCACCTCAGCAGCAGGGTCAATTTTAAGGCCATTAGCTGATCCTTGAGCGTCTACACTACCACCCTTCTGTGATCACGAGAGATATTAGCATGAGTTCTCCAATTAGAAAGAACAGCACCACATAACATTGGATATGCTTACTACTCACATTCTGCGGCTCCGACATGTGTTTGGTATCATGTCTGCGCTGCGAACCGCCCCCATTCACTTGCTTTCTTCATCTGAGAAAAAGGAATCATCACTAAAGACATACTGCATAAAGACAAAACCATTGACCATAATGTAACAGGAGCTTCACGATTATTTTGATTCTGTATGCATGAGGTACATACATCGAAGGATTTGATATTTTTCATGGAGACAAAACCATTGACCATAATGTGACAGGAGCTTCATGATTATTCTGATTCTGTGTGATTGAGGTTCATACATTGAATGATTTGATGATATTTTATAAAGTGATGAAAACTTTATCTTAAGGTCCCACCAAAAGGTGTGAGAAGAAAGGAACAAGAAAAGACAAACAGTCAGAGAAAGGAGTACAACAGAAGCAAATCAAAAGAAAAGGAGAACAGGATAAAACAGAGCAAAACTAATGAAGGGCAGCGATGAAAATTGGTCATTCAAGCGAGCATTTTCTTCTTCTCTTTTGCATAAATAAAAGCATTGGGTCGTTACAATGACTACCTTAATACGTTTCCTGAAAATTACACTCTCGTAAGATCCCACAGCCTGGATGAAGTGCTCCATGCGTTTCAAATTTATCTGCAATACAAAAATACGCAAGGATCATACAGAACATCCTGGATGCGAACCATGATCAGGTCAGAAACAGATATGCTTCTTATTTCAAACACGTCTCAACGTACAAACTACTGGGCGATTATACAAGGGCAAGTATTTTGCTTTAAAAGGGGGGAGAGAGGGTGGGGGAATAGTCAAGGAGAAGTCATAGTTAAAAGTGCCAGGCATTTAGCCCAGGCACCAGAGAGACGGAAGAAGAATGTGACGCTGGCTACTTCACCAAAAAAAAAAAAGATTGATGTCAAACCTCATAAACACAACTAAGAACCAATAAAGTAGTCTGTTAGCCTAACAAACAGAAGAGGTGAAGACTTTATACTAAGCATACAACATCTGGAATCCTAGATGTTCACCTTAAAAGAATCAGTCAGGTAACCACCCATCCGGACGAACTCCTTTTTGTAAAGCATCAAAAGCAAATCAATAGCCCCCTGTAAACAACATAAACAGAAAAACAACATAAATGAGGACAAACTACAAAAAGGTATAGCTTCCTGAAGGAATATCCATGGTTAAATACAAAAAAATGACTGATAATATGTGCAAAACAAGGGAATTGTTGAAAGTGCAATACAATATGTATGATTTTCCAACATCGGCTATGCAAAAAGTTGAACTTACTGGCACTACCAAATAGCCAGAAAATTCAGTTTTCAGTGTCAAAAGTACTAGAGAGCCATGATTGAGATAGAGCACCACCAGGATAATTAGATTAATTGCAAAGCTCCAACACCAGAATCACACACTTCTTCTAATGAAGCGTGAAAAGTTAAGACCCCCCCAGATTTACTGGATTAAAGATTTTAAAAATTTAAAAATTCACATCATAAAGCCCCATATCAGTGCATGCAGCTTTGCATGAAAGCATTATATGACTACACAAAAAAATGAAGACAAAAAAAATAAGGACCTCAAATTCCCACCTCAGAGATTGCCAATGATGGTATGTGTAGCAGAAAATCATTTCCGACAAGCAAACACATGAAAACAAAGTCATCAATCAAACGCTCCAGATCTGTGTCAGATGTTGAGTCCGGGATTCTTAAATCGTACATTAGAATCCAAACATGGAGGAACTGCCAGATAAGAAAAGGAAGAAAATCAGTAGGCTCAAAACTGCACCGTGCTATAGAACAACGGAAGTATCAACATCAAATGGTGGATTCAGCTATGAACTTCAGAATTTCACAGTTAATTGGGAGAAGAAATATCTAGGAAACAAGGTTTCACTACTTCAGAATGCTAAACCATGTTGTACTGCATTAAGTATGTGAATATAGCAACCAAAATTGAAATATAATAGAACATCCTGCTTCCATTTACACCACAATTGGAGAAAGTTATATTTCTCTACTTCAAGCCAACTGTTGCATGATCTACCAAAAGCGTTTAAGTTCCCAAATAGCCTATAGAAAACAAAAGAGATACGTTACCTGAAATTTTCTCTCAGAAATGAAGTGTGCTAAATTGTCCAAGAAAGCTGGCGATTGCTGAGAAATTCCTGATTTTGTCAGAAAACTTCCCAAGTCATGACCACTTTTTGTACCATTGTCTCTAGAGGTAATCTTACGTACTTCCTGTGACACAAAGAAAAAGAATAAAGATGAAGACTAGATGCACAATTTCAGAATGCTACTGCAGGCACAAACCTCTCTCAGGACTGAAAAATGAATTTCGTGACTGGCCAAGGCAAGCATGATTAGATCTGCATCCTAATAAGGAAAAAATAACAGAAAAGAAATCAGCAACATAAAACATACTTGGTAAATGGCATCTCTAGTAGTCCCATTTATAGACAAAGACATTTACCAAACCATACAAACAATGCCGTGTGTTTGGATTGAAGTCGGGGAGATTTCTTTGCAAGCGTATGTATGACATTATCTTATGCTCCCCTTCACCAGGAACACTGGCATCAGAAAGAATGACCTAGAAAGACCAATTGACATATATGTACGTTCAGGAAAGTAAGGAAAAAGAAAACAGATATATGCAAGTTCAAACATTCGGTAGTTACCTTTATTCCTTTCCACCCTTCCTCCTCATTCATGCGCAAGTTAATATAATAACGGAGGGCTGAAGACAATAATTCCATAAACTCAGTTCCTGGAGTGATTACATTCGAATCCAACTTCTTTGATTGCCCTTCGACCGGCAATTCGTTTTCCCCTGATTCATGACTCTCAGCCTTGAGAGAGGCCTGAATATTGTCAAAATTGAAACAGGAAAAGACTTTTACTAAGCAATCCAAAGAACGCAAGCAGGCCAAAGTGGTTAAAATCATAGGCCGAGCTTAAATTAGACGACAAGGATCTGAAGAAACTCACTTCATCTTCCACTTCCTTAGCAGTCTTAAACCTCCTGGACCGTTGTTGATTCATCTTGGCACGTGGAGCAACACCATCTAACCAAATCAATTAGGAAAAAAGAACGATTTCATTCGGAACAGCAAAAGCTAACCAGAGAGAGGCCATATGTGCATTTTCAGTTCATTCGCTTCGACTCAAACTGAAGTTAAGGAAAGCTGAAAAGAGGAGTTTGTTGAGGAAACTTACCAATGGCCAAGTAAAGAAGCTGGCGAGGACGAACTATACTAAAGACTCTGTCAATGTACATAAACACCGCCTGGAAGACTTCATCGTAATCGCTCGGAGGCGGCTGACGCAGCAACGGTAACAAGCTCAGCAACAACAACAAAAAAACGCGATACCAATGAAAAATTGGGAAAAGAACACACAAAAAAACGAAGTAATCGAAAGCAGAACTGTACCAGTCCTTCGGGATGGAAGCAAGGGTGGATTATTCCATTCATGTCTAGGTAGAGATTGTCGAACTCGTAACCGTTAGGGTTAGGGAGGGAGACATCGACGGGAACGTGACGGTCGCTCTCGATCAACGGAGTTTCTTCCACCACGTCGGCCACCGAGCGCGGTTATCTTTCAACCAGCCACCGGTAGAAAGACGGTATTCCCATGGGGGCTAGTCTCGCAACAAAAGTAACAAAAACAATAACTTATCGGCGGCGGCCGAGCATTTGCTGTCTATTACTGCTGCAGCAGAGTGCTCCTTAGACTAACTCCAACCAAGGATGCAAATTTGGAGAAATGTATGTTTTCTCACTTTTTCCTCTCCAACCCACATAAAAATTGGCTTGCAAATTTGGAGAAGTGGGCTTGGGAGTAGGGGTGGCTATATGGTCCGGTCCGGTTAAATTGGCCCAAATTGATCCGGTCCAGTCCGGTTTTTTTGAGAATATAAGGACCGAAGATTGAATTGGATACAGTCCGGTCTTGACCCGGTCCGGTCCCAATTCGGTCTTGATTTTATATTGAGATTGTGGGAATTTGAGTGGCCTAAGGCCTAAAAGGGTGAGGAGTTGGTTAAGTTTTGTACTAAGTGTAAAGGTTTGTGACCGTTTATGCAAATTACCCTTAAGTTTTGGGTGTTGAGCTCTCTTATCCGGTCTTTATCCGGTTTTTTACCTCAAATCTAAGCCCAAAGATTGGATTGGATTGTTTACTATCCGGTCTCGGTCCGGGTTATATGGTCCGGTTTCCGATTTTTCATCCGGTCCCGGTCCAAATAGTCAGCCCTACTTGGGAGTGGATAGATGGCAGCTGAAATGGATAAATGCAAGAAGGAGGTGGGGACCATGGGGCAGCCAAAGCCCACATGTAGGGGCACGTGGGGCCCTCCACTTTTCCATTCCCTTCTCTTTTTTTGTTTTTTGTTTTTACTTTCTTAATTTTTGATTGGTTGGTTATGCATTGGGAAGGCAAATTTAGAAGGTTTAGGGTTGGAGCAAAAAAGTGTTTTTGGGAGGTAAAAATGCAAATTTGAGAGTTTGAGAGGCTAAAAATGCACATTTGGGTTGGAGTTAGTCTTAGGGTAGGTTGTCTTTCGAGCAACCAGGAGGAAGACGAAGAAAAATAAATAAAAACCGCTAACCGGAGAGAACCGGTGGTTTGTATGTCTTCAGGTGCCATTCCACAATGTGCCAGCAGATTAAGGGCACCTTGCACAACCATGTCTCTTGATCCTCGGGATGTCTAAGACGATGCAACTCAACCACTTCATTTGGATATGGATCCCATACTGCCTACAATCATTATAATTCATGGAATTAGTAAAATACTATATCCACTCCACCTAAAAAACAGAAAATCATGAAATTTTATATTTTTACCTGGTTCCACCAAGGCTTATCAAATTCAGCACGATAAAACAGTAAAGAGTGCTCGGGCTGGTGGTCGTTTGTATTTGCTCCGATCCACCTAATTAAGCAAAAGTACATATATAATCAATTTTTAAAGCATAGATGTTTACTTGTTAAGTATGATTGTATGGAAGCATCTAAATTGAAATAAAATTCCTTATTTGGCAATAATTTAAATTAGCTCAATACGATTTGGTTAGAATAAATCTAAATTCGCTTACTTGGAAGATATCTAAATTCACTAAAATACTATAATTGCAGACTTAAAATGTCTCGAAATTCGCTTAGTTGGAAGATAGCTAAGTTCACTAAAATACTATAATTGCATACTTAAAATGTCACTAAATTCGCTTACTTGGAATATATCTAAATTCACCTAACTAGCTACCATTGCATATCTAAAATAAATTCAACTTAAATTGAACTTACTTGAAACCATATGGGGGATTTGCTACAAATCGTAGCTCGTCATCTGGCAACCAGAATTCCCGAGGGTCTCGAGGTGCGAGAAACGGAAGATGCTCCCATGCCCAGAGCTGAATTATGAACATCGCACCACCAGCTTGTTTCGCTCCCAACCTCGAGCAAGTACACAACTCTCGGTAGATCCCAGCCAAGACGGCCGACCCCCAACTTTTTTCCCCGATCTCGTCCCAGTCACCGAGGAGCATAGGGAACCACATGCCTTGTATCCACTTATTTGACTTGTCGGGGAACAGAAACCCACCAACCAAGCCAATTAGGTAGACACGTGCATACCGCTCCACCTGATCTTCAGGAGTATCCGGGCCTTTATTAACCTCCAACTGGATGTGGTCAACAAGCCACGGGATCGATACTTGCCCCGCATTGAGTGGTGGATGCCCATGACTTTCGACGGGCGTGGTGGTCGGCATGTTGAACCCCAAACGTTGTTGAATCAATGGCCCCCAACCATCTTCTGGTTTTCTCGAGCTGTCGATGATGGCATCTCCGGTGATCGGGAGCCCGGTGAGGATGGCAACATCTTTGAGGGTGATCGTCATTTCACCCTCGGGAAAGTGGAAGGTATGCAGCTCAGGGCGCCATCGCTCTGCCATTGCCGTCAGCAGATCGTTGTCAATATCAAGCCTCATAAAGTGCCTCAGATTGTGCAATAGAAAGCAAAATAAAAACTTTAAAACTATTGAAATAATTTTAGTGTGTCTACCGGATTATTGTTCCAAATTGAACGAGAGCGATGTTGATCTTGCCCGGTTAAATACCTTCGATCCCTTGGGCCAGGATCGATATACAATCTAGGGTCGTATATCTCAGCACCCATCTATTAAAAAATATGAAATAAAATCAATTTAAATTTTAGCACCAATGTAAAAAATTCACAAAAAGAATTAAATAAATTTACGTACTCTCAAAGCCTCTTCGTCCATTTTTTGCCGAAAAGCTAGCGAGAGTATCGACAAAACAAAAACTCTAGTAACTCTTTCTGATGCGGAAGATCGGACTTAGCCGCAACCACAAAGCATACTTAGAACGAAACTAGAGTGAAGTAATGGAGGGAGAAAGAAGTATAAAATGGTGGTGTGGTTTGGAATGAGGGGGGATGGGTATTTATAGTGTTTGGGCGCTGGAAAAGTCTTGGGCATTGATCACCGCGCCCAAGAAACACAGTGCAATCACTGCGTCCAACAAAGGCGGTGATGGCCCGGATAGGTGACGTGGCGGCGTGTGAGGCATCGGATTGTGAAGAAAAACCACAATCCGCACCTCACTGCATCGAACGGCAGCGGTGATAGCGCGGGTGGGGGCGGATCGCTGACGTGGAAAGCGGGGCTATCACCGCTTTGGTCTTCAGCAGTGAAGTGCCCGCGCGCGTCCACGTCAGCGATCCGCGCCACTTCACCGCCTTTGAATCCAACGGTGAATACTCTCACTGCATCCCTTATCAACGGTCAATCCATCACTGTTGATGTCGAAAGCGGTGATAGCATCACTGCTTTTGTCAAAGGCGGTGATGTATCATCGTTTTGGACCAAAACGGTGATGCTAATCACTGTCTTTGACTAAGACAGTGATGTTGAAACTGTTGTACTTTGGGAATTAATTTTATAAGTACTGTATTTAGGGATTTTTTTTTTAATAATTAGAGTATTTTGGGATTTTTCCCCTTAGAGAACAACATATACGAATTGCTCTCTTTCAGCGTCCAGCGACAACTAGGTTTTCTTTTCCGTCCGGCTGGGGGAATGGACTGTTTACTTTGATTTCTATTTCCTGTTCTATACAATACATATGTTGAAAATAGGTAAAAATAATATTTTTCCGTTTCCGAAAACAGTAGGAAATTGCCACTTTCTCTTTTCATAGGTGGAAACGAATAGAAATAGGTGGAAACTAAACAAGTTTTCTCGTTTGGATTGCCAAATTTATGACATGAAAACAGGAAACGAAAATGAAAGTGAACAAAGTAATCGTTGTCATGTCGATGATATGCCGATCGGTTGAACCTGGTTCAATCTAGGGATGGCAATAGGTCGGGTTTTGCCATTGACCATAAAATATATGGGATTAATTGTTTCTCTTTTCATAAATAAAAAACACCAAAATTTTTCCACTTTTTTCACTTGCACAAAAATTATCCTTCTTTCTTTTCAAAAAAAAAAAAACTGAAAGTACAAAAGTTCACCTCTTTTTTTTCTTCTAAAAAAGTTGAAAACACAAAAAATTCTTCATTCTTTTCAAATACATTATTTCCCTCTATTTAATTAACCGCTAATGTGTTTAATAGTTAAATTAACTAGAATGTTGATGTATATATACAATATAAATAGTATACATTGTCTCATTTATTAATTATTCACTATCAATATTGGCATTGTGTTGATTTTATATTTCGTATTTATTTTTTTTAGTTTGTTAAAAAACTAAATGTTCAAGTGAGTTTTTTTTTTTTTTTGACAAAAGGTAATCTTATTTTGATTGAAGAAGAGATCGAACAAATTACACCATGATGCCTGATATGCATCAATGAAAAAAAAAATCAAAGGAACGACATGTTGTCGGATCCGAAAAAATGGCCTTCCTAGCTACTAAATGGGTTAGCCTATTGCTATTCCGACCTACAAATCGTACGTGAAGTCATTACGTATTACTGGAAACACACGACTTCCTTAAGAATGGCCCCAAACGAATTATCTCGCTCATTTGCCAGATTTAATTTGTCGATGATCACCTTCGCATCCCCTTCAAAGCGAACCTGCGAGAAAGCACCATCCAGACACCACTGGATAGCCTCCTGAAGGACTAGAAGTTTTGCTAAGGTAGGATCATCAATATCTTCCAAGTACACCTTCTTAGCCAAAAGCACAAAATTTGGTCTTTTAGAATCATCCCTCCTGTCGCGTGAGACCCCTTCCTCGTCACCCCACCCCACATGCAACATGCAGATGAACGAGGTTGGGTCACCCGATGTTAAACTCCCCACATGGGGGATGGGAGGCAGGACTACTATGTAAGTAGGCAAGCCAATCCATTTCTGCAACTGTTGCTCATATTGCGCATCAAAGATTAGATCCGGAATTGTTTGCCATAAAAAACAATCCACTTTTTGAATCTCCAAATCTGTCAGAGGATTGCTACAACAACCATGCTTCGATGGAGTTAATTGAGTAGGACCAACAATTTCTTAAGAATCAAATGAAAAGTTTGGCGAGGAAGACCTTGGTCAAGACTCTCTAAGCTTTAAAGACCCCAAATTTCCCTTGCGACTAATGTTCAAGTGAACTTAATGTTTTCATATTTGTAATTTTATTTAAAATACATATTTTAAGTGAATTTCATATCTTGAACTTCCTTAAACTAAATGGGAAAAGTGATTTTGCCTAACTTTCGAATAAAAAAGTTTATTTTGAAAGACTATAAATTATATAATATAGTAATTATTCATATCAATCGAGTTACGAGTTTAATTGAGTTGCGGGTTAATCAAGTTCAAATCAAACGGACTACGAATCAGTCGAGTTGCGAGTTAAACAAATTGCGTGTCAATCAACTTACAAGCTAGGCGTACAGTCCAGATCATTAACTTTAGTCAATTCAAATTACAATTGGTTGCGAGTTGTGTTGATCGGACGAATTACTCGAATCCGGTTGTGTTTTGAGACGAGTCACAAGTCACAACCATGGTTTTCACTTTTCATCGTATCCTCCCCTCGCAAAATTGCCATCCTAAGGAGCCCAACACGGGCATTCGCCCCCGACAAAACTAGTCCCGCTCCGGCCTCCGGTGCTCCCAGCTCCAGGAACCAAGCTCTTCCCCTCCTACGAATTACGATTCTCTCACTCTACCCATTACCTTCCTTCCTTTCTCGATTAGGGTTCCAATTCTGAACCTCTTCCGGCCTTCTGGTTCATCCGCTCAGTGCTCTATTTCAGTTCCCGCATTTGGGTTTCCATTCTAGTTCCAAGGATGGAGATGGAGACCTCCAAAGACGGCGATGCGCCGGTTGTGTTTCTCGACAGAACTGCTCGAGCTACCAGAGGCAAGAGGTACGCGCTGCTGCTCAATTCTTTCTCCCGTTCTGTTATCTTGCTCTTGCTTCATTTGTTGCATTGTTGCAGGATGACGAAACTACTTGACGATGAAGCGGAAGAAGACGAATTGTTCTGGAACCAGGACGCTCTCAAAGAGGTACTGTTCTCCCCCAAAGCCACTCTTGTGTTCCCATCATTTCAAAATCTGTTACCTTTTTGGTGTTGATTTATTGTTTCTGTTTTCCTTTTCAATTGAATGTTGTAGGATGAAAATGATGACAATTATCAACAAGAGGCAGAGGCTCCGGATGAGTTTGATAGCGATTTTGATGACGATGTTCGTAGTTCCTTAACACTCCAAACTCCCCCTTCTCTTTAACACTCTGATAAGATCATTTTCCCTTTGATTTTTCTCTATTGTTCATGGGTGACATGAGTTGTTGTTGTTCTCTAATCAACCTTGCTGGTGCTGGTGCTAGGAGTCTGAGCCGGACGATGAAGCAGAAAACGAGGCAATGGAAAGGTCTGTTATCATCTTTGTAACTCTGGTTCTGGTCTTCCTAACCTTTTGAACTTGATATTGAGTTATTTCCCTCAATAGGAGGCCACCAAAGAAGCGACTTATATTTCCTGGGAAGACTCTGCCAAAGAAGAAAAAGAAGAAGAAAGATCTCTCAAAGCTGGATGACGAGGCTGACCAGGATGAAAAACCACCTGAGCAGTCTACCACGCCCGAGCACCATGATGTACCTGATGAGGTTGAAGGCGAGAGGGTTGTTAGGAAGTCAACGAGAACCTCGGTTATTGTTAGACAAGCCGAGAGAGATGCAATACGTGCTGCCTTGGAAGCAACTATGAAGGTTGGTCCTTGTTTATGTAAGTTGTCGTTCTGTAATGTGGTGCAAAGGAGGGTGATACTGCTTGCAACCTATGAAGTCCATTTGCCAGGGGCTTTTTTGTCGAAGTCTCTGATGAGATCACTTGATTTCTTCATCTACTCCACCATACTAGTGTTTTTTTATGATTTGCTGTTGCTGGCGTTCTTCTATGGCTTTTCAAATCATGCAAAGGGACTAGGATTCAAAAGCTGGTGTGGTGAATCTCATGTGGTACTTGTTTTGTGATCCTTTAAACAGCCAATAAAACGAAAAAAGGAAGGGGAAGAGAAAAAAATGACACAAGAAGAAATGCTTCTTGAAGCAGCCCAAACAGGTTAAGGTTACATTGTGCTTGTTCATGCAGCTTTGAAATCATATGTTGTTTCCTACACTTCCTGTGGATTCTAACTTGGACTGTGCATTAAACAGAGATCATGAATTTGAGGAACTTAGAGCGTGTTTTAGCAAGGGAGGAAGAAGTCAAGAAAAGGGCTGTCGTGCACAAAGCAGTATATAGTGGCCCACAGATTCGCTTTTCTTCCAAAAATGGCAAGCATACATACGTTAAGCTGCACCATCGTCTGTTAAGAAATGAATGCATGAGTTTTGGCTTGTGAATTTTATCTGAAGCATTCTGTTTCTTCTTTCTCATGTGTAGGGTGTTCATATCTTGAATTCAGAGGACTCTCATTTCATTCCCAACTGACAACAGCTCCTATGCAATGTATGTTCATGGCGTTGCCATATGCTTTTTGCTTTTTTGCATTAGCTAGTTGTAGGGATTCCGTAGAGAAAGTATGTTCTGGAGGAGGCCAACCATTTAACATGACTTACTTGAAGAGCTTACTGATAAAGGGGACCAATTATTTCTCTCACTTCAAATGAAGAGGGACCTTATTTGTATGCTAATTAAAGCTATCAAGAGTTCGTAGTAATAGTTGCTATTCTTCATTTAAAGTATTGCTGTATGGTTTGCTTTTTGGAATATCAGGTGTTGAATTTCTATTCTGAATTTTGTTTTTATTTCTTGTTGATTGCAGATCCAGAGAAGGCTGCCTGTGTTGTAACAGGATTGCCTGCCAAGTAAGACCTTGTTTCCTTGGTTTGGTTTTCCTGGTCCAATCTCAATTAAGGCTGAAGAGATGTTTTCCCTATGAAAAACTTGTTCATTACCCTTGATTATGGCTACAATTACAATTCTCTGAGCAGCTGCTACATGTGGTTTTCAACCTATTGCTCCTAGGTACCGGGATCCAAAGACAGGGCAACCTTATGCAACGATTGAAGCTTTCAGAATTATTCGCCAACGGTATCACTTCTTATTCTCTTCGTGCCTTTTGTTCACTTAACTGCATTTGCAACACATTTTTGCTAATGTGCCATTCGTTTCATGAAACAAACTATATGAATGCATTCATTGCCTTTGTATCGAGTGTGCATCTGCTCTGTGTCAATTAGTATGCATACTTCGGTCAGAAGCCGTTGTGAAATAACCGTCCATTCAGCATCACCTCCTATCCTGTAACTGCATTTTATAGATGCATCGATTTTAATAAGCTTGATTCCTGATTCTTCATCTCACTCATTGCAAGTTCTGCTTTTCGTTTCTCCAGTTTTGAGGAAGAGAATGAGAATGCTCTCGACAAGGAGATGGACATGGGAGCTCTGTTTGATGCACTAAAGGGGAAAGGATTCTCAGTCCGGAGGAGCCGATCTCCGGTGTTGGCCATAAAGAAGATGACAAACTTCTCATATCTCGCTATTCCTCGGAGAATACCAACCATTGATTTTGAGGACTCAGAGTGATCTTAGAACTAAGTCAGGTGAGTTCTTGTGTAAACTCTATGGAACCTATTCTCTACAGCTTGGTACGAATTGCAGTGGCTTCTGTTTCCAATAGTTACAGCTTAGGATTGAGCTGGGAGTTCTATATAGGCAAGGAAAAGCGCGTGAATCATATTTTAGATTTCATTTTTAGCAGTTTGCTGTGTAAATTAGACGAGTTAGGAGATATTCAACTCGCTTGTAAGATCAAAATCCCACCACTCCTTGATTCAGAAGTCGACAGTGGCATTTTCTCTGGATTAAGATTTCCACCTCTCTCACTGTGTTATTACGGACTATATCTTTTCTAGGACCATATTGGATATCGAAATAGAATGATACTATTAAGAATTACTCGCCATTTTTCCATCACGTTTTGAGGCGATGATGAATTTCTGCCACACTCGCGATCACGGCGGAGGAGGTAGGATTTCAAAATACATGTGTTGTCTTTTTAACGGGATGGCTCACATTGCTCTAGATTTTCTATTTTCGCCCTAACTTAAAATATAAATTTACTTAATTTTTCTCCCTTAAAAAAAAATTAAATGAAAAGTAGCGATGACAATCAAACCCATGGCCGTGGGTATCCGCCACTAGGGGTGTGCAATGGTCTGGTCCGTACCGGATCATACCGGACCAAACCGTTGTTAAAACCGGACCGGACCATACCGAGTATAATGCGGTCCGGTCCTTGGTCCTCATGAATTTTATAATTACTGAAGAAATGGTGGACCGAGCTCATATTTGGACCGGATCGAACCGGACCAAATGGACCAAATGCAAGAATGGTCCGGTCCTTGGTCCTAACATGTCTTTCACTAATAGACCGCGGTTCTCATGAATTTGGTCCGGTCTTGACCGAACCGAACCGTTGCACACCCCTATCCGCCACCTCCGACCCGGTCAATGCGGGGATATGGCCGTGGGTATCCGCCACCTCTGACCCAGTCAACGCGGGGAATCCCCGCATTGACTGGGTATGGGACGGGTATGGGTAAAACCGGCAAAGAACTTGATGGGTATGGGGCGGGTATGGTTTTAGCATCCCCGCCTCATACCCATACCCAAACCCGCCCCATCAAGGTATTTTGTTATGCGTAAAAAGCTATAAATATATTTTTATAAATTATTATAGCATGAAGGTAATTAAATAAGAAAATATGATTAAAATGTAATTATGTTTATCAAAATCCTTGAAATTTTTTACCCTCTCAACCGGCTACAGTTTACTTTCTCAATTCCTCAATGTCGCCGCCTTTCCTCTCCTGACTCCTAAATCATCTTGGAGACGAGTCAGACGACCACCTTACCAAAATTGTTGATGAGATAGTAATAGGTTTTGTCTAGTTTACAAGTTTATGTTAACTATTTACTATATAAATGTGTTAGATTCGAAGTTGAATGTTTTGATATAGTATTATATTTTCATTTTGTTTTATTGATTAATCAATATTTAGGATTGAATGCTTATTCCTATTAAGAAATACTATAACTATATTGATTTCCGCTATTTATTACGTATGTTTTGTGTTATAAATGAATACATACATGTTGAACTTTACATATAATAATATTGCTTATACGATGCGGGTATTACCCATGGGTATACGAAATCAATGGGTATGGGGATGAGTTTGCAAAACCTCACTCCGCATAGGTATAGAGCGGGTATGGGTTTGGGTATTTGGGGATGGGGATGGTGTAGGCAAACCCGCCCCATTGCCATCCCTAATCAAAAGTCTCTCCTTATTCATTTTTCTTCCAAAACATACTATCACAATCCCGCAGCGGCGCATCCACCAATCCGACCACCATTCACCAGTGGAACCTCCCTAGCGCCGTCAATGGCAAAAATATATATAATCGTGAATATTCGTTCGAATCCGATCTAATATGGTAGGTAAAACTCGAACCCGAAGAATTTTAGTGGTTACGGGTAAAACCCAAACCCGAATATTGCGGATAATGGGTGGATATGATTTTCTCACTATCCAACCCAAACCAGCCCGATTATACACATGCATATGTATTTTTTTGTCTAGAAATAATCATTAATTTTCTCTAACATATTTTATATTTATCATATAAATATAAGGCAAAATCCACTTCCATAGCCATAACTTTACACTTTGTGACAAATATAGCCAAGTTTTGAGAAATACACAAAAATAGCCACATTTTAAAAATACATTTGACAAATTTAGCCATTTTCGTTAAAAATATTAACGGTGTTAGAGATTCCGTTAACATCGTCAACAATAAGCTGAGGTGGACGCCACCTAAGCACCCACATCAACTCTCAGTCGCCATGTCATGCCACGTGTACGCCACATAGGATTAAAAATATGATTGATTTAAAATTATTTATATAAAATAATTAATAATTCTTTTATTAATTATGAAACAAACAAAAAATCCAATTATAGCCGACGCAGGGCGTCGTGCTCGGCGCCGTTGCTTGTGATTGTAGAATCAGTGTCGTCGCTTAGGGTTATTCATTTTCTCGATCTGAATTTTTCAAGGAGGAACTCACAATGGAGATAGCATATCTCGTGCTTGCTGAACTCTCTCAGCGCTCTAGGAGGAGGCCCAGAGCTTTAGGGTTTTTGCAAGGAGGCTTGTGGGAGATGTCGATTGCGGCCTGCGGCGGCATCCCTCTGCTTCTGAGCGAGCCCCAATGACAACCAGGGAGTCAATTTTGATTCCTGGGTTCGTTGTGTCAAAACAAAAACATAATTCCTGGGTTCGAGAGAGATATGAAAACACCACCAACACAATAGACCCATTCTTTTCATCTTCATCTTTCCTCCTGCAAGCTTCTATCTTTCCCCCGTAGCCGCCAATGAAGCTCAAACAGGGTCGTTGTCCGCAACTCCAACGGCGGCTGAAGATCAAATCTCGCCGATGATGGGGAAGAAGCAGCAGCGGCAGAGAAGGGGCTGCTGGAATAGGACGATTAACTGTGATTCTTCTTCAACATCGCCGATTCATTAGGGTTTTTGCTCGACCACCGCCGCAACTGCCAAACCCCAGTCCAGAGATGGAGGGAGGATGGGAAAGACGAAGAGGAAGATGACGACGAGGTGCAGTGCAGATCTGGATTTAGGGAGTCGGATTAGGAAGTCGAAGCGCCAAAAGGAAAATTACGATGGCGGATCTAGAGGATCTCGAGAATGGTGGAACTTGATGAGCTCGAATTTGGCGATGGTTCAAGATGAAGCCCTATGGTGCTGGTGGTGATTATTTCTCTGATTGCGGTTACTACTTACTACCGCCGATTGCTTGTGCGGCGGGTTGATGGGAGTGGAAGGGTAGACACAAAGAGGTAAAGGAGAAGAAGAGAGAACTTGGATGCAGAGGAAGGAGATCACGGAATATGGATCCGAAAAAAATTATAGTAAATAGGTGAGATTTTTTTTGTTGTTAATGTTTTTTATTTAATAAATATATTTAAATTTAAATTCCACCTGGCATGCCACGTAGACCAAGGCAGGCGCGGTCACAGACGATCGTTTGTCCAGTCAGCCATGGTTAGAGTTCCGTTAAATTAATTGACGGAATGGCTATTTCTGTGTATTTCTCAGAATCTGGCTATATTTGTCACAAAGTGAAAAGTTATGGCTATGGAAGTGAATTTTGCCTAAATATAATATTTTTATAAATTTTGTTTTTTTAATTAATTTTCTTCATTCTAGTGAATTATTGTCATACTTTTCTACTTATATAATGTTAGAATAAGTGTGAATGTTAACATATTGGTTGGAGTTAAAAAAAGAAATTATTATCCGTGGATAACCGTGGATACCCGAAACCCGAACGGGTATGGGCATGATTTTGATTTTTTTTACCCATTTCTTATATGAGTATGGGTAAAACCCGAACGAGTTTGGGTAGGGTGTCGTCTGAATCATCCCATCATTATTTCAACTCTTTCCTTCTCCCGCTCTGGAATCAAATCCAGGCGGGTCTATCCCTTCTCCCCATCGCCGAAATCAACTCCCACTGTCGTATGCCCCCGTACATGTGACCCTTCTGGCCTTCTCCCTGCTGCGATGAGCTTAATGATAGACTTTGATGAACGCGGTTGAGGGTGAGAATCAGAGATGTTCATCGGCGGGCAATGGGAATTAGTGGCCGACGGCACTGCAGGGTGCGGGTAGTGACGGCAACGATGATGGAGTTGTCAGCCGTTGGACAAGTTTTTCTATATATGTGTTTATTAAAATAAAATATCTCTCAGAACTAAGTAGGGCTGTTAGTAGCCGAAACCGAAAATAGGTTATATCCCCAACCGAAGCCGACACCGAAGGGAGGATCGGTTAACCGCCAACCGCAATCGTCCGTTTCAGTTTGATGGGGCGGTTAGCCGAAACCGCCCAGAAGACGGCAGCGTCGGCAGGAAGCAGGGAGGATGAACATGGCGCCGACGTTTGTGAGAAGGAGGACGACAGTACGACGCCGACGTTTGTGACTGGAGAGGACGGCGCTGAGCTCGTGAGCAGGAGGACGATGGTGCAACGAGCTCGCTACGACGAGTTCTGGGAGGGAGTTCGGCGACGACGAGTTCTGTTGGAGGATGGTGCTGCGACGAGCTCGACGGGGACGAGGCAGACTGGCGACGAGGGTAGGGACTAGGGTTCAGAAATGGGGAGGAGCGGCGGGTGAGACTCTGATGTCTCCTTCGATTTGCGATTTCGCCATTTAGGTCAGGGGAGGAGGGGATTGGGGAGAGGCCAAACGACGCTGTTTAAGTGACTGGGTCGGTTTTGCGGTTAACTTGTACGGTTGCGATTTTTAACCGCTAACCGCTACAATTGCCCCATGGCCGGTGACAGGCAACCGCAACCGCAAACCACTCTCGGTTTTCGGTTGGCCATTAAACTGACGGTTTCGGTTCGGTTTCGCGGGTAACCGAAAAACCGGAGACCGATTAACAGCCCTAGAAATAAGGATGAGAGAAGGACGTGTTTAAGTAATAATTATTTAACAAATATAATTGAAAATTTGAAACTAATAATATTCAAATAATTTATTCATAGCTAAAAAAATAATCAACTAATGACGCCTAGAATATATTCGTTGTCTACACTATTAAGTAAATCTCTTTCAACAAAGTCATAGCCATCAATCTGTGAGGTTTTTGATGAGACTAAAGCTGGAGAAGATAAGGACAAACAGTTGCAAGCTCGGCCGGTGAAGCCTTTATTGCCGCCAGTGAAAATTTAGACACAGAGCCAGATTTTGGAGTTTCTGTGCGCCAAATCCGAAGCAAAAGGATTGAAAGAGGATGTCATGTTTTCAAGGAATGGGAATTTATCCGTATCGATGTTCTGTATCGATCATAGGGGAAGGAAAAGTGGAATTTTCAATTTCGTAGAAATTGGGAAGCCCAGTCAATCAATTCTGCAAATTGAATCGTGGCTTTGATTCGAGCCTCACTGGGAAAGAGTTAAACTGGGATGAAAACCAGGAGCCTAAGCTTCAAACGACGCTCTTCTTAATGACAACAAGTCCGAATTAAAGAAGCTGGAGGTGAAGCACGATTTTCTGTTGACTTTAATCCCATCGCTGGCGACCTGTGCAGAACAGAAATAATGTGTTTTCTTTCTGATTCGGGTATAATTACACATATTTTACCCCCTCGTATCTTTATTGTTTGACTTGGTTATCATCGTTCCTTGACCTATTTTATGCTAGCTAGGTTGTGCTTCTTTTGTCACATTTCGGGTCATAGTATGTGTGAGAAGGTCCGGGATGAGTTTCAGGTCATTCAGAGGTCAAAACGAGCCAAAAAGTGGAGATTGTGCAATGTTCACGGGCAGGAGGCAAATGTCACGCCTTGTGGGGGTGAAAATGTCCCCCAGTGGGTGAAGTGCAAGACTTCACGAGCAACACTCAATTGTCACGCCCTTAGGGGGTGAAAATCACGCCCAAACCGTGAAGTTTACAAATTCCAACAACCATTGTGCGTCTTGCAGGCCTAAAATGGTTACGGTCCCGTGAACGTGAAAATCACCAATGATCGTGAAAATAGCCCAAAATGGTGCTTTTTTGGCCGAGATAACTGTCTACTAGCTATTATCACCCCGTGAACAATGACCATGAAGTTGGCATTGTCGAGCAAATATAAAGACAACAGTTGGGAGAGAGAAAGGAGAGCTAGTTTTTGGAGAAGAACTTAGTTCTTTCTCTAGAGTTTCGTCCTAAAACACCAAAGAGGAGTTCTAGAGAGAGCGATAGAGTTCTATAGTGATCTTGGAGTTTAATTGAAGGCTTGGATTGATCTTGAAGTTGAGGATTCAAACCTAGAATATGAAGAAGATGAATATCTTGGGAAATTTTGTATTCTCTCTCCTCTTCTCTATGAACTAGACCTCTTTCTCTTATGTTGATGAACCCTAGGTCTAGATTTTGGGTTTGATGTTGATGTATGTGATAGATTCCATGTTGAATTGATGAATTTATTTAAGTGATGGATGGTTTCATGAATTCCATGAGTTATACTTGTCAATGCTTTTGACCTAGGAGGGAGATAATCCTCGAGAGAGTTGATTCGATCCGTCTCCTAGCAATATATGAAGCCCTAGGTTGAATAAAGCACTTACCCATCCATCACCTCGTCGTCTCGGGTCATTCCTGAACGAGTCTATCTCCTAACGGTAGGGTAGTGAGTCGATTAAGCTGGAATAGTACTCAACATCATTCTAAAGGGAAAAACTAGGGGATTCAACCCAAGAAAGCTCCCAAACTTGTAATTAACTAGGTTAGTATAGTTAGGTTAGTTTTTCTAATCACTACTCTAGGTTGGCTAGATAATGAAACCTAAACCTAAACTAGGGTAAGCCTAGATCCCCGTGGTTCAATATATTGTATTGCTTGCTTGCCCTATGCTACACCCTGTCGTCCGTTCTACTTGGTCGTCGAGTGGGAATGTTGTAGTCGGTGTGAACCACTTTCCCGTTAAGAAAACAAGATGTTGTTGTTTGAGTACAGTGATGGAGAGCACGTATGATGGTGATTCTGCAAGTTTGGATGCATCTGGAGCAACCAATTATGTATGGAACCCCGGCTGGAGGTTTCACGGAAACATTCATGTTGATTTGAGTTTCGAAACTCATGATTTGGACTGCATGTTTAATTGGCTGTTCGAGCTCTTGATTCCTTAGGAATTGCAGTTTGATTGTATGTTCTGGATGCTTATTTTGTTGGTAATTAGGTGTAGAAGCCCGGCGGGAAAAGATTGCTTAAGGAAGCTGCGAAACAGGAGCACTTCTACTATGCTATATAGTATTAGTGCTTTAATGTACAACTTAAAGTTGTACAATATCATTAAATATATAAGTTTAGGTTGTACCATAAAGCAATTTGTACCATTATGTTATGGTACAACTTTACAACTTGAAGTTGTACCATCACATAAAGGTACAAGTTCAAGTTGTACCATAAAAGAATTTATACAAAATGTATAGGTACAATCTGAAGTTGTACCATAACGTAAATGTACAATTTTAAGTTGTACCATAAAAGCAAAACCTTATAGCACCAATACTATATAACATTGTAAAATTTCTCGCGAAACAGAAGCAAACAAGAGTGTGGAAGCTTGCTTGGGTGAATTGCTTGGTTCACAAGATTGATGTCTTAGTTGACGAAATTGGAAGTGTATTCTCTTGTTTTTCACTTGATTTAAGGGCAAACCTTCTCCAACAAAGAGGGACCGATGCAAATCCATTGGCAATGTTCATTAATTCAGTTTGAGCTTGTTCACTTCAAGCACAAGTTAGTTCATTTGATGGCTTGTGAAGTGAAGGTTCTAGATGCAATTGTCAAGTTCGTTGAAGGTAGACTCAAGGAGGAAATTGGCAAGAAGATTAAGAACCAATGTGGCAATATTTTGGAGGACAAATTCGGGTTTGGGAAGGCCTAACTGGCGAGCTGAGTTACCTTGTAGGAGGACTGTGTTTCCTTAGTTAGAGTCATAGTTAGCTCGTTTTTTTTTAATTGTTTTTCTAGTTAGTTAGTTAGTTAGTCGTGTGTTTTAGTTATTAGTTTTCTATTTAAGTACCATGTAATCCGTGAGTTACGATCAGACTTTGTTGAATATCAATTTTACACCATGGTGTTTTTCCAATGGAGCGTGCGTGTTTATGGTTCATTGTCTTAGCTATTGGTAGATTCCATAGCTAGTGCAAGATCCTTGTTTAAACAATTCTATTGAACATTCCAAAATAAGTTTTGCGAGACTCTTATCAATCAAGTAATCACACTTGATTGTGGCAAGTATCTATCAATACCAATTAACCCTCCTTCCCGGTGCAAGGTTGTTTGATTGGTTTCTCCATGTATTCTTATATTTTTATGCTAGTTTGAACTTTGAAGGTCAATTCGAGCTATCCAACATTTAGTTATTACGGCGTGCCTTTGATCACAAGAACCTAGACTTTCACGGGGCTTAGACTCATATCAGGGTTGATTAAAGAGGAGATTTAAAGACGGGGGCAATAAAAAGCGGAAAATGTCGTAGATAACTCGAGGAAGTAAAACATATTGAAATCCTTGCTATCACCCCTTGAACACATGAAATTGGCTTAATTGCAAGATTGGTCACTCGAATTGCTATAAAATTTCACGTTTGCCACTCAAATTAATTTATTCCATTTATAGTCACTCGAATTAGTTGAACAGTTCAAGTTCGGTCACTCTCCGTTAACCTCCGTTAACTTTGACTGACGTGTCGGTCAACTCTGACCGTTGACCGTTAAATGTGTGACGTGGCAAATAAAAAATAATTAAAAAATTAAATTAAATTTTTAGAAATTACACATCATTATAAAAAAATATAATTATAAAAAATGAAAAAAGAAATTATCGCAAAAACTTAAACTGCCGCTCTAACACCTTCCCCACCACACGCCCTCCTCCGCCTCTCTTTCCGGCCGCCGCAACTGCTCAACTCTAAGCGGCAGCGATGGATTCCTCTTCATCGTCGCTAGAGAGTTGCCCGAGCTTCTCCCCTTCCTCTCCGGAGTACTCCGATTTGACGCCGCGCGGATCGGGAGCGGACATTGGTGGATGGGTAAACGATAGGCTTGGAAGGAGAAGTGCACTTGTGGTGGCTGATTTCCTCTTCTTCGTCGGAGCTGTGATCATGGCTGCCTCCCCTGGACCAGCTGCGCTCATCACAGGGAGGGCTTTTGTGGGTCTTGGAGTTGGAATGGCCTCAATGACCTCCCCTCTCTACATCTCGGAGGCATCTCCGGCGAAAATTAGAGGTGCCCTTGTCAGTACAAATAACCTCCTCATCACTTTTGGCCAGTTCCTTTCCTACCTCCTCAACTTGGCCTTCACCAAGGTACGTAGCTAGCTCTGTAATTTAATTTGAACTCGTATTGGCTTTTGAGGGTGTTGAGTGAGTTGTTGTTTCAGGTTCCAGGGACGTGGAGATGGATGCTGGGAGCTGCAGGACTTCCTGCTTTACTGCAGTTCTTGCTAATCATCTTTCTTCCGGAATCTCCTCGGTGGTTGTTCCGCAAGGTTCCCGCCTCGACCTTGGATTCCGGATTCTCGGATTTGACGAGGTGGAGCGCTCGGGAGATTGCAGAGGAGGAAGGGGAAGCGGCAGCAGCCGATCCGCGCGGCGTCGAATCGGAGTACTCCGGAGAGGAAGGGGAGAAGCTCGGGCAACTCTCTAGCGACGATGAAGAGGAATCCATCGCTGCCGCTTAGAGTTGAGCAGTTGCGGCGGCCGGAAAGAGAGGCGGAGGAGGGCGTGTGGTGGGGAAGGTGTTAGAGCGGCAGTTTAAGTTTTTGCGATAATTTCTTTTTTCATTTTTTATAATTATATTTTTTTTATAATGATGTGTAATTTCTAAAAATTTAATTTAATTTTTTAATTATTTTTATTTGCCACGTCACATATTTAACGGTCAACGGTCAGAGTTAACCGCCACGTCAGTCAAAGTTAACGGAGGTTAACGGAGAGTGACCGAACTTGAACTGTTCAACTAATTCAAGTGACTATAAATGGAATAAATTAATTTGAGTGGCAAACGTGAAATTTTATAGCAATTCGAGTGACCAATCTTGCAATTAAGCCCATGAAATTATTTATAGCTCTTGTAGCAACTGCTGTACTATTACATGGAAAAAAATAATACGAATAGGCTGCGTTCTGTACAAAGCATTTTTCTTCTTATACTGAGACTCCCTTAAGACTATTCCATGGACATGCTCCTGCAGTCAGGCTGAAATACAAATATATATAGAACCACAGACAAATGCAAAACTGGAGAAGCTCTAATTCCCTTTCCCCTTTTCCGCTTCCGATCCCTACAACAATTCTAATTTCCATCCTTCTGGTGTGTCTAAGAGTTCACAGTACCTGGAAAAGGCTTGAAATATCCTTATGTTATTCAGATCACCATCCCCATGACGCCACATCATTTCTCTTCAAATTCCACGTCGATTACATTAGGATCAGACTTTGAAGGTTTTGTTCCTTTCTTACCACCACCACCGGCACCTCCACCTCTTGAAAATACGTCGTCTTCAGGGTACCACACAATGTTACCACACCCTGCACATCGGATTGCCCGGTTCTTGATACCCATGAAATCCTGCCTACAAGCTGGACACGACCCCTGCAAATGACATATACAATACAATAGGCCAAGTCATACATCGGCTTTCGTTTCAACAGCGCGACTAAACACAGCTGTTTGAAAAGACATTTACTGGTCATTGCAGCATGGTAGCATCAGCCATAGGAAGGATACTACTTACTGCTGACATGAAAAGGGATATAGGCATATCAAACATAGAACCATGATGGAAGGATATAGATCAACATGTAAAACATGAAAAGATACACTTCTTGGACCATCAACCATCCTGCCTACTTAGAAGCAAGTAACTTCGTCTCGTTTTTTTTTTTTTAATTAGGAATGGAAAGCAATCAGACAAACAATGAAACTGTTGGTAGAGCTGCAAAAACCATTCAGACTTTTAGGCCATATACAAACATATGCTTCAAATATTTTGGTCATGTGGCTAGATGAAACGGGGAAAAAATGCATTATCAAACAGGAAACTGACTGTACTACTGAACCAAATGGTTGGCAAGAGTAATAAAGAGAACAAGTATTGTTTCCCCTCAACTCAGTACTCAGATGATAAGTTTATTCCCAATAGCTGCTAACATCCACAAGCAAGTAGAACACATGTAGTTGGACAAACCATAAATGTACACAGTAACGGGAACCAAAAATCATTGACCATTAGTACCTTGATGACAAGATTATTCCCAATAGCTGCTATTATAAGAGGCACGGCAAGCGGCAGAATCCATGAACCATATATTATGAACCGAAACACCCACCCTGATAGAGCAAACCAGACGAAGAACATAGCCTGGAAAAGAGAAACAAAAAGTAAGGGAAGTGTTACAGAAGCCCATACGGGAAGCTACTAACTGATAAGATAACAAACAGCAAGGACAAATGATCGAGCATTTTCGGAAGAGAAGTCCTCCGTAACAATCAGAATACTCAATGAACAATCAGCTCAAGAAAGAGCAAAATCTTGAATGTTAATCTACCTAGAACAAAAGCGAAATAACTGTAAAAATGCTTCATCATCCTACGAATATGATAATGCCTAAAACAATCAAAATTCTCGTGATAGGTACCAAATTCAGAATGATAATGCACACATTGGTCGTTAAGAAGTCAAAAAGTGGTTATTCAAGATCCTGATGATAAGCAAGACAGGGTCCCAACCATCATTTAACAAAGTAACTGTCACAAATACAGAGTGCTTCAAAGAACAAGGATATCTTAATTTTCCACGTTATAAGGCATTGAAATGTTTTGTGCGATCAAGTTTACTGTCTATGTCCAAAGTCCTTCACAGACAAAGGTCCACAGTTTCTTATTTTTGCAGGTGACTCCGAGTAAGTGTTGCCAACAACTTGAATTGTCATAGGACCACATAATATGCGGCTGCATACTGCAGTGAATAGAAATCGAAAAGCAACTTTAAGAATAAAAGTCACACAGAAGCTCCACTAAGTTGTTACAGTATGCAACTGATTCCCTTTGGCATCCATCTATCTAAATTACTGAACAACCTGTTTTAAGATTGAGCTAAAACATTTGATGCACTCGACTTTTCCAAAGTCCGATTCAGATTCATCCAAGAACTTGTATTCCACAGATTGAAAACAAAGTTGGTGACCAATCACAAGTTCAAGGAAACTGATATGCTACTGATTCCTTCTATCAGATACTGTTTGAGTAGCCGATCATCGACAAGGGGGATAATCACACTTTCCATTGATCAACAACCCTGTAATGTACATCAGAAAAACTCTATCTACCAGGTTCTAAAGTAAACAGACGGGTCACAAGCAGCTTCCACCATATTGTATGCATAGCCTATATAAATAACAACCATTCTTGCTAACAATAAATACACGAAAAACATACAAACACCAAGAAAGAAGATTCATCTTGCTTTGAACGCGAATTATGAGAAGCAGGACTCACATAAGAAAATCTTCCTAATGGAGTATCCATGAGATCATTGAGCTGCTTCCTGTACTGCAATGAAGCCATTTCAAAAATGTGAAAATCAGCAAAGACTAATGAAAACTAAATATCCAAAACCAAAAACCGAAATGAGAAATTGGAAGAAAGCGTCAAAAGCTACCATAAGCGGAATGAAACGGAAAACATCAGTAGTAGAAGTGATAAAAGGAGTCAAACCCTAGGCCAGTTTCGGGAGAAATCCATGGTGAAGGCGCGCCAACGAACGGTGATGTTCAAATCCCTATCGATCAAGCGCGCCCTATCAACGGCAGACTGCGTCGCAACATTGAGACGCCGGCCGACGGAGTACTTCCGGTCAATGCGTTCCACCGTCTTCTTCGCCTCGAAAAGGAAGAGCTCAAAGCCATCATTTGCGCTGCGCCAGGCTTTTCTGGCGAACCTGTCGAAGTCGCTGTTGCCAGAAGCCCGGACCACGGCTACGCGGCGGCGGAAAGATAACACAAGAGGAGGATGAGAAGGAGGGAGGAAGCGGTGGCGGGAGGGAGAAGGGACGGCCGGAGGCAGAGGGTGGTGGCGGAGCAAGGCGGCCATTGGAGTTGGGGGTTGTGTACCTCTCTCTCACCACAAGAGGGAGAGGAAGAGAGCGCTGCTTCCTGCTGAGATAGGAAACGGTTGCGTACTGTGAGGGACGAGTAAGAGCTAACTTCCTAGATAGGCTCTTTTAACTGTTATCGTGTTAGTGGTATAATTGATAATCGAAACACTAAAACTGAATGAGTTTGTGTATTTGTGGTTAGTTTTAATGATGTGGTGGGTCGAGTTTTATTTTTGTTGAGTCAAATCGGTTGATTAGGCGATTTCGTTTGTCATCTCAGCACTTAACAGATGTCATTAACGGAGTTGAACGGAGACTAATGGAGAGTGACCACACATGACGTGTTTTACTAAACTCAGTGATCATTATTGATATTAATTTTTTCTAGTTACTAAACATTACACATTTTACTAAACCTAGTGACCAAAATTGGAATTTATCCTTTTTTTATGTATCCGATTTCTAACAACACATTTTTGGGATTTCCCATATGCAAAAACCATATCATATTCTTCTATCCATACCTTAAAAATGGCTTATGCACTACAATAATATGTGCTCTAGGTGCATGAACTTGTTGTCTACTGAGGAAGAACTGAAATAATCACATTCTTCAAGGCTAAATTGAGATCGTTGTATTGCTCAAGTTTCGCACCAAGCACTCTAGCCAGGAGGAGGAGGTTATCTCAACCTTGAGAAGGAGGGTAAAATTTATGGAGCAGCGGGACTCGTGAATGATTACTTATTGGTTGGACAAGTCGGGTCAGTTATTCACTCTTCTTCGAGCACGACAGCTAAAAATATAGTGCGTAATATTAATGGTCGCATTATCATAAATGGGTAAAGATTGAAGGTAAGAGAAATGGAGAGGGTTGTCTGGATTCAGGAGATTTTTCCAGAAATAGCACTGTCCCCTCCAGAGGTTGCTATTAAAGTATTTTTCAAATTCTCAACGAAAATCACTGACAGTAGTATGATATCACAGTGATATTATATTGATATGATTTTGGTATGAGATTTTGTGTTTAACAAAATAATTTGATGACATCATGTCAATGTCATATCATGGTATTAGGAAAAAATCCCACTGTACACATGTTTTTAAAAAAAAAATTCTCAGAATACACATGTTATGAAAAAAATTCCCAATCTACGCATGTTTGGGCCTTCACCGCGTCTGACTAAGGCGGTGATTGCTTCACCGCGTTAAAGAAGAGCGGTGAGTGCATCACCGCGTTAGAGAAACACGGTGATTGCATCACCGCTGTAGAGGAAGGCGGTGATTGCATCACCGTGTTAGAGGAAAACGGTGAATGCCTGACCTGCGTCAAATCTTTAAAAAAACGTAATTTTGTGCTCGGTTATCCGATTGAATTTTTAAAGATTCGACGCAGGTCAGGCCTTCACCGCGGCCGTTGAATGCGGTGAAGCAATCACCGTGTTTGTCTACAGCGGTGATGCTATCACCGTGTTTGTCTAACGCGGTGATGCACTCACCGCTCTTCTTCAACGCGGTGAAGCAATCACCGCGTTAGTCTGACACGGTGAAGGCCCAAACATGCATAGATTGGGAATTTTTTTCATAACATGTGTATTTTGAGAATTTTTTTTAAAAACATGTGTACAGTGGGATTTTTTCCCATGGTATTATCAATATATTATGAGATAATATCATGATATGACACAATATGATTGATACGATATTGATATGGTGTTGGTATGACAGTGCTATGATGTTGGTATGATGTCTTATACTTGTCAAAACATAACAAAATGAATAATACTGTGTAAATTTTAATGAATGCGTTTTTTCTATACATTTTTTTTCAAAATTTTGAGTTGAAATGAAAAGAATGGGTCATCATATCACTGTCATATTATGAAGATATGATTGATATGAAAATGATATAATGTTGGTATGACAGTTATATGATGTTGGTATGAAGTCGTATGTTTGACAAAACATATCAAAATGGATATCGATGTGGAGATCTTAATAATTGCGTTCTTTCTGTACAATTTTTTTATTATTTTGAGTTGAAACGAAGAATATGGGTCATTATATCTCTTTCATATCATGATGATCTGATTGATATGGTAGTGATAATACTACAACCGAGACGTGTTTTGAAGAGTTCAATTTTTTCTTTGCTCAAAATATAGCGAAATGAATATCAATGTATAGATCATAATTAATGCGCATGTAAAGAATTTTAAATTCCGAGTTAAAACAAATTTTATAAGATCTGGTTAAGAAAAATAGGGGATTAAGAAAAGTAAATTTTATTCTCTGGATCTATGTCAAGTCAAGAAAAATAATATTCAGATGGTGGCCAAATTACCAGCCCGACCCTCTTTGTTTTATGCAGAACATTATGGAAAAAATCCAAAAGTACCACTGTTTAAAAAAAAAATCCAAAAATACCACCCAACCCCAAAAAATTCCAAAAATACCACCATTTTTCAAAAACCGCCACCCCACCCAGCGGTTTGGTCGAAAACCGCTTGTCGGGGGCACGGTTTTGGACCAAACCGCGGGCCTAGGGGGCGGTTATAAAAAAAAAAAAAAAATTGGACCAAAACCGCTGGGTGGGGTGGCGGTTTGGCCCAAAACCGCCACCCCAACCAGTGGTTTGGTCCAAAAGTTCGGTCGAAACTTCAAACGAACGTAACTTTGCACTCGGGTATCCGATCGTAGCAATTTTTTTTTCATTTCGCCTAACTTTTCAAGATCTACAACTTTTAAAAGGATGAAATTTTCAAAACAGGAACTATTTGTGGATATACGGGACCTTGAGAATAACTTTACCTTTACTTTTCAGAAATCCATGTACATTTTGAAATTATGATTATATTAAAAGTTGTAGATCTTGAAAAGTTATGCGGAATTAAAAAAAAGTTCATAACATTCGGAGTTTGGAGCACAAAGTTATGGCCGCCCAAAGTTTGACGAAAGGCGAGACCCGGCGGTTTGCGGCTTGCAAGATCTCAAAAAGTTTGCGGCCTCCATTTTTTGAATCCGAATAACTTTTTGAGATCTTGCAAGTCTCAAACAGTCGGGTTCCGTCTTCGTCTCGAAAAAACGTCATTTGCCACCCCGAACGACCTTTTTTTATTTCGTCAAACTTTGGGCGGCCATAACTTTGTGCTCCAAAATCCGAATGTCATGAATTTTTTTTTTATTCCGCATAACTTTTCAAGATCTACAACTTTTAATATAATCATAATTTCAAAATGTACATGGATTTCTGAAAAGTAAAGGTAAAGTTATTCTCAAGGTCCCGTATATCCACAAATAGTTCCTGTTTTGAAAATTTCATCCTAGTAAAAGTTGTAGATCTTGAAAAGTATGCGAAATGAAAAAAAAAATCGCTACGATCGGATACCCGAATGCAAAGTTACGTTCGTTTGAAGTTTCGACCGAACTTTTGGACCAAACCGTTGGTTGGGGTGGCGGTTTTGGGCCAAACCGCCACCCACCCAGCGGTTTTGGTCCAAACTTTTTTTTTTATAACCGCCCCCTAGGCCCGCGGTTTGGTCCAAAACCGCGCCCCCGACAAGCGGTTTTCGACCAAACCGCTGGGTGGGGTGGCGGTTTTTGAAAAAGGGTGGTATTTTTGGAATTTTTTGGGATTGGGTGGTATTTTTGGAATTTTTTTTTTAAACAGTGGTACTTTTGGATTTTTTCCGAACATTATTCTGGACTATAGATGGTAGTGAAATGGATGGTGAGAGATCGAGTTTTGCGGTGATTTTGTAAGATAGATTTGTACCCTATCCTCTCCCTATTAATTGACATTTCATATTCACTCTAAAAAAATTCGGAATAAAAAAATTGACGGATCATTTGGATTTACCTAAACTCATCAACGTACATTCATAACGATATCATCCCAAAAGAAAAATCCAATATCCAAACTATAAACAGAATTCATGAGTGTGGGATGGTAATTTGAACCCGCCCCGATCCATAATGGTCAAGTATTACTCGACTCGTAATAGTGTGGGGGCATGGATATCTACTTCGGACTCGCCCACTCTGCCCTGTTCTTGGCCCATTTTATCTCAATTTATTACCGTATCTATTCATATTTCAACTAATAGTAATTAAGATTAATCTTTCAACTAGTTAGAGTCAATTATACATTCTATTATCACTATTCTTCCTCATAAAGTGTTTTCTCCTTCGTTTTATCGTAAAAAGTAAAATTTTACATATATTTTTATCAAATAACAAGTCATAATGGCTGACCCACCCCGTACCAGCATAGATATTACCCGCCCTGCCCCGTACCCGCACGAGGAGGCCAACAACACATAGGTATTGAGATACCTATCCATTGCCATCACTGAATGAGTATCACAATCCATAACTTTCCGCATTAATGTATTTAGAGTAGTTCATTACTTTTCAAATCCAACATCTAAGCGATTCCTAAACAAAACAAATACATCTGCAAAGAGGAAAAGGAACAATCTACAAATTGAGGGATAGGATCAATCTTATTAGTGTATCCTCAGAATAGGGGTGGCCATTCGATCGGTTCGGTTTCGACCGAATCGAAATTATGAATACCGGGTCCCCGAATTCTCCCAAACCTCAAACCGAATTCGAACCAAATTATAATTCGGTTCGGTCGATTTAAACCGAATTATAATTCAGTTTGGTTTTTCACACAAAACCGAATTTGTGAAGCTACTTATATTTCCTCACTTTTAAATTATTTTTAACCCCTAATATAAATAATAAATATTAATTATATGCATCATCAATAATAAAATCAAACTTTTCAACACATAAGTCATAAAACATTTCAGATATTTAAATCTAAAAACAACTACAAACATAAAAATCCACTATTTGGAGCTTTATTATAGTATTTCGATTTTTCGGTCGAAAATTCTGTTCGGTTGAAAGAACCCTGGTTACTATCCATATTTTCCTTCCGAATTCCGAACCGAATAACATTAATTCGGTTTCGGTTCGGGTTTACCAAAGCGTTTGCCCACCCCTACCTCAGAATATATCACCAGAACATATTACCTGATTCATTCGAGTAGGCATCAGAGAGTCAAAAGGAACCAAGAAGTCTTTCCAAATTCAGACCAGAGGTAATGCCGATGTTGACAAAGAAAGAACTCATAAACTGCGGCCATTCTATGTAAGAAGCACAAGGTCCAAAACTATCAGTTGGCTGTCAAGTTATCAAAAATTCGTAATTCATTTCATTGCTCCACAGAAACAAAACATGATTCGAAATTACATCTGACTTGCTATATCAAAAAGAGATCTTGCTACTTCCCAGCCATATTTGACATATAGATTTCCCCCTATTGCAATTAGCAGGGCAGTGCGTAGTTTCTAACTTACTAACAACAAGGAGAAGAAGCCCAAAAAGACCGAAGGAGATCACAGAAGGTACTAAATCGAGAATAAGAATGCAACAATTGAACACAGACAAGTCCATAGCTACTATCTATACCCGTCCTCAGATTTGAAACCCCACAAGGAATCAGCATGTTGAGAACCATTCTTTGCGCCATTTCATTCGACCATCACATCAACTGAAGCTGCAGATGCTGGCTTAGACTTACTTTTGTTTTTACCTGCTGAGCAGCAAGTAAAATGTCAATAAAAACCTTTGCTGATCAAACACTGGTCTTACTTACATGTCGCGTAAACAACAACGAGAAAGGGGAATGCAAACAGAAAGGGGAAACTTACGGTTGCCACGCTTCAACTGCTTAAGCTTCAGCCCCTTCTTGACATTAAACTTCGCTGATGTTTTACTGTTAACTTTCAATGTGCCTTCACCTAAAAAGAACAATGTCCCTTAAACATCAAGCCTTTTTGAAAAGCAAAAGAGTGAACACATCAAAGAAAAAACTGAGACCAGCTAGGGAGCAAAGTTAGGGAATTATTTCAGCATGGACAATCCACTAAGCCAAGATCATATATATCATATTCCAGTTAGATACCATTTTCTGCCGCCAATAGATGACTACAAAGTGATGGAAGAGATGAACACAAACACTAACATGAGTAACTCCCTGCAGAAGGAACATCACCCCCACCTCATCTTCATTAGAAATGCATCAATTTTTCTATGCCAAACTTTAAATTCCAAGTCCTTCCGGAAACCCGGAGCCATTATAAAGCTGGTTAATTTGCTTCGCAATAGGTTAATAGCATCTAACCCATTGAGGGTTACGAAGTAATCATCCAAGAGAAGTGAATAGTACCATCAGCAATCGCCATCTCAACGTCTTCCATGGTGACGAGGCCCTTCTCCACAACGTCTTTCTGGTCCTGTAAATTGACCAATGGACAAAACATTCATCAGGCAAAAGTCGAGAGATAATTCGTCTGATCACAGCATAGCTTCCCGATGTCGAAAACAACGGAGACCGACTGCGGGTAAGTGCGAGAAAGAGAAGGAAGAAGCTAACTTACTCTGCGCCATTTCTTCAAGAGCTTGCGCTTGCGTTTGCCGGAGACGGGTATAGTCTGTTGTTTCGCCTTGAGCTTTGCAGTGACGGGGTCTCCGTGAGCCAACCTCTTTCTTTCAGCTATGGCTGCCCTCTTCCTCTTCTGCACTTCGTTGAACTTCGCCATTGCCTCTGCTCGTCGATTTCCTCCAGACAGCAATAAAACCCTAGACGAGACCGTGCCGGCATTTTGGGTTATGTACCCTCCTCTTTTGGTTGATGTTCCAAAACCATGCGCGGGTTTATTATGGGCCTGTCTGCTTAAATTATTCTCATTACCTCTTTGGGCTTGATTGGTCGTATAGTTGGGCTTAAGCCTCATACCATCACACGCACGGTACTCCGCAAGTCGAAAAGTAGCTAGCTAGCTACGCAGGTTTTGAGCTAACAAAGTTTGGTTTTCGGTTGGTTCGTTCAGTTTAGTTGGGTTAGGCCAATTATATATTTTTATTAATGTTGGGGGTGTGACTAAGGGACGGAGCGCACAGACTAAGCAGTAGGGCGCATAATCGGCGATGCCCAACGCTCGATACCCGCTACAGGTATATAAGGGCTTGAAGCCCTCCAAAGAGGGGGACTTCCCCTCTCTCCTCATTTTCTACTTTTTGCCATCTCTCTACACCTTATCTCTCTACCTTATTCTCTCAACTCTCTCCATAAACCGACATCTGACTTGCTCGTCGGAGCTTAATCCGGGGGGCAACCCCGGCTCTTTCACAGGTTCTCTCCCTCCTGACGAGATCGGACGAACGGACGACGAGTCAACCCACACCAACAAATATCATTGTTCGATCCGGAGCTAGATGGGTCAAACAATTGGCGCCCACCGTGGGGCCTGATTCCGACATCTGTTCGTTCGATTTTGAAGGGAGAATGGAAATTGGCCGCCTCTGAACACCACTCGACAGTAGCTGCAGGAAGAAGAAAAAGAAAAAATGGCAGAGGCCAAGTCGGAAACCCAAATCTCCATCCAAGTCTTTGACTTTTGGGTAGGGAAACGACTCTCCCTCAAGCCAACTGCAAGCATCGTCAACCGCCAGTTAAAGTCGATCTCGAACACCAAATCCACTCGTCTCCGGTTGGATAGCACGCAAATCGAGGAAAAGAAAAGCTCAGATCCCGGTGACTTTTACTTGTCGCCGACTAAAAGGGCGCCGGGGCTCGAACGGAGCAATTAAGAAGAGGAAGATCGGAAGTCCGACTTCATCGACGATTCCATCCACAACTGCAAGCTGAAACCATTCCGACGATCGAGAAGCAAAGGGGCTAAAGTGAAATAAAAACCAGATCTACCTTTCTACATTCTTCGCTCATCTTTCCCCTGTTACATGCCCAACTCGATCTGCAAGCCAAAACAGAGAAGAAAATTAAATCTGCTCTAAGTCAGAAGAAGATGAGATCTTGGCCGGCGTAGATGTAACCGGCGGCAAACCTCTGATAGAAATACCTCCGCTGTCGCCAACAGTACACCAACATTGTTGCCGCGAGCCCAACCCGATCCTACATCACCATCCTGCCGCGAGCTCTGTTCCACGAACACCGACACTCTCCGTCGATGGAAGCAGCCTCCTCCTGAGCTCCCCTCGTCAGCGCGGTGCACTTCTCAGCCGCCAATCACAAAACCCAGATCCGGAGCACCACGGAGAGAATAGCCGCGCGACAACAACAACGGCCGCCCGACAACAAACCCTCCCCGGACTGCTTCCAACTTCTCGGCGCGCTCCGTTCTCTCCGCCCCTATCCTGCTTTCATTGACAGATGCCGCCTAACCACATCTTCGTCAGCGTGCCTTCTTCCTAAGGAAAACGCTCCGCTCGTTCTCTCTGCGCAGTTGGCCGCCCGTCAACTCGGCGCTAAAAAAAAAAAAAAAAAAAAAAAAAAAAAAAAAAACGAGAGAGGAAAGAATGCCGCTCCCCCTTCAGAGTTTGCCCGTCCCGCTCTCTCCTTTGGGGCCGCCGCCCTAGCCCGCGGCATAGCAGCACTGCGCCACATGGGCCTGCCAACAGTTTCGGCCCATGGAGCCCGAACGCGATCCTCCTCTACGGGCCCGCTTCGACTTCTGCTTGACTCGCGCCAGACAGCAAAGCCCGACGACTATTGCGCTGAGCTCATACGAAAAAAATGCTGCTGCCGCCACTACTCGAACCCGAGTCATTTCTCCACAAGGCGGGCAAGTCAACCAGCCAACTAAAGGAAGTTAGCGCTACTAAAGCGCGGCAACTATTGCCTATTCACTTACTCGCGGCCCAATTCACTCTGACTAGCCAAGAGCGGATCCAAGCCCGCGTCGCACCTGACTCAACTCGCGGCCCACTTGTGCAGCTGCAACTCACGGCCCACAAGATGCACTCGGCCCGCCAGTAAAGCTGTAGAGTGCAAAGCATAACAAAAGTGATGCGCTGGAGAGGGGATTCGAACTCGCGCCACCACGTCAACATTCAAGCAGGCTAACCAGTGCACCAGAAGAATTATATGTCAACTAATGCGCGCCACTATTATTTGAAGTATGCACGGCCACTAGTCCCTGCCCAACGCGCGGCTCATCCAGCTCCAACTTGGACTCGCGTCACCTGACCCGGCCCAACTTTAACTCGCGGCCAGACTTCAATGTCCGCTCGGGTTTGACGGGCGTCACATTGGCCAACAAATCCAAACTCGCGGCCCGAATCCCGCTCAACTTCCGCGCGTGAACGAAGCCCGACGCACCAGCCCGGCCCACATTGCGCACTTCCGCGCCTCACACCAGTCTCGCGGATGTTGGGCCTGCCTCCAATGCGCGGCCCGCATCGCATCACTTCCGCGCCTCAACCCGGGCTTCGCATCACTTCCGCGCCTCACACCAGTCTCGCGGATGTTGGGCCTGCCTCCAATACTTGGCCCACTCCGCTCCAACTGCAATTGGCGGCCCACACATCAAGTCCCCGAGCGGGCTTCCAGAGCCCCCACCAAACCCGCAGGCGCCCCAACTCGCGGCCCGCGTAACATCACTCCGCCAGCCCTGATCCGCGCCACCATCAACTCGCGGCCCAACATCACTCCGCCAGCCCGCCAAGCCCAGTGAGCACGGAACTCTGCAAAAAATATCGTCGCCGCCCGACTTCGAACCCGCGCCAATTCTCTAATAAAGGAGCGACGCAACCAGCAGGCTACACGCACACCTTGTGTTTCAATGGCGCGCGGCCAACTTAAAAGCTTCTGCACCCTTCTCTATTCGCGGCCCACTTCCGCTCGGCGGCTCAGCATTCGCGGCCCATCCCAACTCAACCCGCGTCCACAAGCGCAATGCACCCTTGCTCGCGCCCAAGCGCACTCGCGGCCCGCATTCAACAGGCGCACTACTTAAATATAATGTAGTCGTCGCCAGACTTCGAACCCGCGCCACTCCTCCGACAGGCAAGCATCCTTACCAGCAGGCCACAAGTACCTTGTGTTTCAACGGTGTGGCGTCTGAATTTTAACATTCGCGCCCAATCAGTTCGAAAGAACAAAAAATTAGTATGAGTCCAGCACTCTGCGCCCAGTTCCACGGAACAAAACTTAGCAATAGTCCAGCACTATTCGCGCCCAATCAGTTCGAAAGAACAAAAAATTAGTATGAGTCCAGCACTCTGCGCCCAGTTCCACGGAACAAAACTTAGCAATAGTCCAGCACTATTCGCGCCCAATCAGTTCGAAAGAACAAAAAATTAGTATGAGTCCAGCACTCTGCGCCCAGTTCCACGGAACAAAAAATTAGCAATAGTCCAGCACTATTCGCGCCTAGTTCGAAAGAACAACAATTAGCAATAGTCCAGCACTATTCGCGCCCAGTTCCACGGAACAAAACTTAGCAATAGTCCAACACTATTCGCGCCCAGTTCGAAAGAACAACCTGCAGGCTACCACTCAGGTTCTGTTTCAATGGCGCAGCGCCTGCCTTTCAACTACTCCTGCCGCCACTGCCAACATAAAGCTAAGTACTCTATCCCTCCATCATTATTAAATTTTTAAAATATTTTTACTATCCTAAGCGTTGATGGCGCTAATGGGGGGCAAGACGCAAAAAGCTGGCACCGCGTCACTCAAACGCGCCACCAGCTGGGGGGCAACTGGGGTACATAGGCCCCACCCAAAATTACCGACAAAGATTTAAAAAATAAAGTATAAGCTAGCGATGAGTTAAAACTCACCACCAGCTTGGGGGGCAATTGTTGGGGGTGTGACTAAGGGACGGAGCGCACAGACTAAGCAGTAGGGCGCATAATCGGCGATGCCCAACGCTCGATACCCGCTACAGGTATATAAGGGCTTGAAGCCCTCCAAAGAGGGGGACTTCCCCTCTCTCCTCATTTTCTACTTTTTGCCATCTCTCTACACCTTATCTCTCTACCTTATTCTCTCAACTCTCTCCATAAACCGACATCTGACTTGCTCGTCGGAGCTTAATCCGGGGGGCAACCCCGGCTCTTTCACAGGTTCTCTCCCTCCTGACGAGATCGGACGAACGGACGACGAGTCAACCCACACCAACAAATATCATTGTTCGATCCGGAGCTAGATGGGTCAAACAATTAATATTTTAAGTGACGTGGCATGGTGACTGGACGAAAATAACGGATTTTTGTATGAGGATGGACGAAATGACCTTTTCGTTATTCGCTCAAATATATATTACTGAAACGTACAAAATGAAAAGTTTGTGACCGTTTTGTACAAATCGAATGATTTGTGACCTTGTGTGCTAATTAACCCAGATGTTACATATGACTTGTAGTTTGCTTCAAGGATTTTTATCATGGATTTTGGATTAAAATCTCACACCTATAGAATTATGCATAAACTCCATTTTTTGTATTAAAGTGGTGTTAGATTATGATGTGTGGGTCCTTATGCATATGAGATTATTTTGAGGTCAAAATTCGTGGGGTGCATGGTTTTATAAATCCCATATTGAACCTCAAAGACACAAATCATTAAGGATACAAACGTAAATTCAGCCTATAATTAATAAATCTCATAGATACAAATTCAATATGAAATCCAACAAAAAAGAACACTTTTAAAATTCAACACAAATATAAAATAACAAAATTCCACGTAATCCTTTAACCATAAAATCCTTCATTTTTTAAAATCCTACAAGCAAACGCCGTTTACTTAGATGGGTCTTTTGAATGAGTTTTTTGTTTTGAACTATTTGTAGGTTGAAACAACTCGATTATTGGCCTTGTGGTATTCTGAAATTTGACTGCAAGTTTGTCTTTTTTTTGGCAAATAGATGAGGTATTTATCTGTGGTATTTGGTAACTAAATTTGAGAAAAATACTCTAATTCCTTCAACGTACCTTGTCCTCGCCAACCTTCTTCCTTGGCTTGACTTGCAAAAGCTTCTTGTTACAACAGAGGCCGGGTGGGCACCGGAGCGGTCAACCCGTTCCAAATCGCACCAAACCGTTGATGCGTTCGAGCCAAACCACATTGTTAGTCTCGCGGTCTAATATGCGGTCTGAATTTTTAGCGATTTACAATACGCGGTGTTATTAATCCAAAACCGCAAACCGCAAGTAAATTCTCACTCGAAATCGGCAGGTCGCCTTCCACCATCTCCCCCATCCTCCCGCTACCCGTTCTCCCCCAACCTCTCGCTGGCTACCCCATCTTCTCGTCCGTCTCGACGTCGCACAACACCAAGAGGCGAGAGCTCTCGAGCTTCCTAGATCGATCGCATTTGGAGTCTGGACCAGCTCTAGTATAATGAGAAGAAAAAGAAGAAACTGAGCTCAGCTCTGATTACCCTCTGACACTACAGAACTAATTTAGTCCCAAATCCAAAAGTTTTTACATACACTACAAATCATCGCCACCCACATCTGACTGGCTACCTGAGCCATCATCCTTTTGAACCGAATACTAGTCAAAATCTAGCTTTCGTTGGTTTGCCCACGGGTCTCAAATCGAATTTGCGATAGACAAGTTGGTTTGGGTGGGGACGACGAACCTAATGGAATGTGAACCCTTTTCAACCCAATTCTGGTCACATCTCGCGTTCGTCGCGAATCGAAAGTCGGGTGCTAATCCAGTAATTGTATGGATCAAATCAAATAGTGGAAACCTCATAATACCAATTATTCATATTCTCGATTGCTTTTGGAATTGCATCCTAGATGAACGAAGGGTTATAAGGAAATGTCCAGTGTCTACAACAGGGAGGCCTTACTGTTAACTATTACATTTTTCTCTTCTTTTCCCACCTTGAAAGACAACCAGCGGGGAAAGGGTAAAGTAGTGTGGTGTCTTGGATTCCAGTCAACAACAATACTACATTTATATTACATCTCACCTTGGAGACAAGGAAGAACCGGCTATGCCTTACTCAGCCTAGTAGATAGCACAACATGCAACTGGAACAGCTTACAAGCATTTGGCCTCAATCTCCTCGAGGGTGAGTCCCTTTGTCTCCGGCACGACGAAGAATATGAAGAGGAGCGACACGAGACCTATCACTCCGAATAGATAGAACAAAGTTCCAGCCCCGAGCCATGCCTGTCACGGGAAGATTTGAGATTGAAACAAAGACTAGTTACTAAAAGAGTTCCAAATTTAGGGAAACAGGATTAAGGGTGTGTTATCTATCATTGAGATATAACAAGTTAGAAGAAAAACTGTATTTGTTTTAGCTTTTAAGTCCACTTCTTTTTACCCGAAACAAACACGGCCTAAGTGAATGAATTCAAGATTTATTTCTTAAGGTGGAAATGCGGATGGAACGTTGACGAATGACAAGATATGATAATATAATTATGGTTTTACCTCCAATGGGGAGAAGGCAAAAGTCACCAAGGCGTTTGCTCCGAAATTCACCAGCACAGCCACTCCTAGTCCTCGACCTCTCAAGCGGAGAGGGAAAATCTCTGATATCATCAACCAGCCAATAGGCCCGAAGGATAGCTGCAGGAACAAAAAAACATGTTTTCGAATTGGAACTATTCAGGTTGGTTTCTTGGATGATAGATTCTCACGAGTTAGGAAATCATGAGTATGTATTCAAGGACAAGATAAGTTTTGATTACCTGATAGCATCCCACGTACACCAGCAAAGCACCTACTGCCATGAGGGGTGCATCATTGAGGAAAATGTAATACGATCCCAAAAGGAACAAAGAGACAACCTACAAATACAAATACAAATACAAAATAGACATTTGCGAGTGTTCTTGGTTAAACAATAAAGCTCCCTAAACTTTACGTTTCTTTGCTGCGGGTGCAGTTCGCCATCTCAAAGCAATAGAGAAGATGATGCTTATATAAGAACGTCACAGAAAGGCACTTACAATTCCAGAAACACCACCAAGTAGCAACGGTCTCCTTCCAAGTTTATCAACAGCAAGAACTGCTACCCCAGTCATAATTAACTGCAACACAAGCCATTGAACATCAGAAAGATAAATGGCCCAATATGAGAAAATAAGAGAAGCGCAAACCAAGAATCAATTGGAAAGGAGGCGGTCAACGTAACACCTGAGAAACTTCATAAAGTTTTGTTTAAAAGTGCATACACAAAGATCCAACTAAGCTTAGCATGAAAATAAGTTGAAAATTACCTAATTTTGCATTAAAAAGACACATTTAGCAGAAGGGTATACAGGGGGAAAACAAGTTCTATTACGCCCATAGGTAAAAGAAAAGAGAAGTTATAACTCACGCATGGAGTGCAGAGATCAAACTTACGGGAGAATATGAAAAGTGCATTCTAAATCAAGCAAAAGTGAGCTTACTGAAAATGAGAAATCCGGATTATCAAAAAAGAAAATGAGTGGCAAAGGTCCCCAATGCTGAAAGAATGAAGGATTTCCGTCCCATTTCCTGCTGTAACACAATTTATAAGGGGATTTCTAAAGTGCTGGCCAACAGGTTTGCCTCTATTCTACCAAGTCTTATTTCTACTTCGCAGTCTGCTTTTATTAGAGGAAGATCCATTAGTGATAATATTCTTTTAGCATCAGAGTTAGTAAAGGACTATCATAGGAATAGAATTTCCCCACGGTGTGCTGTGAAAATAGACATCATGAAAGCTTTTGATTCAGTGGACTGGAACTTCTTGTTTTCTGTTCTTAGCCAGATGGGAATACCTGAACAGTTTATAAAGTGGTTAAGGGCGTGTGTTTGTACTCCTAAAGTGAGTGTTGTGTTGAATGGTGGAGTCTGTGGATTCTTTGAGATGCAAAAGGGACTGAGGCAAGGAGACCCCTTGTCTCCGTACCTGTTTACTGTTGCCATGGAAGTGTTGGATGGCATGTTGAAGTTAGCAGTTAGGCAAAACCAAATACCTCCCCATCCTAGATGTAAACCATTGGCAATTACACATCTGTGTTTTGCCGATGATTTACTGGTATTCACAAATGGCTCTATACGGGGGGTAGCAGGGATATGTAGGGTTCTTGATGCTTTCTATAAAGTTTCTGGCCTTAAATGTAATCCGGAAAAGTGTCAGCTGTTTTGTGGGAGGATTTCTGAAGCTGAGCAGCACTTCATTTCCTCTTATTCGAAATTTCCCCTTGGTACCCTGCCTGTTAGGTATTTGGGAGTTCCGCTTATTACTGGTAAACTGTCTAGAGCAGATTGTCGTGTGTTAGTAGAGAAAATTACAGCAAAAATTGGTAGCTGGAGGGCGCGCACTTTGAGTTTTGCTGGGAGGTTGCAGCTTATTGTATCTGTCTTGACGAGTGTTCTGCAGTATTGGATGGGGATTTTTCTTCTTCCTCAATTTGTTATAAAGGAGGTTGAATCTATTTGCAGTAAATTCTTATGGGATATCACTGACTCATCATTGAGGACAAGAGCTGTAGTATCCTGGGAATTTCTTGCTCGACCTAAGGAGGAGGGGGGCTTAGGAATTCGGGGATTTGCATTATGGAATAAGGCCTGTGTGCTCCGCCATTTTTGGGCAGTTCTTGCTGAGCAGGGATCGCTTTGGGTCGCCTGGATTCATCGCTATCGTGTTAAGAACAAGTCCATTTGGGACCTTAAGACTTCAGCTACATCTTCCTGGATATGGAGAAGGATATTGAAGTGTCGTGAGCTGGCTAGACCTTTCATTTCGGGGCTGCAGGGGGGTTTGGCATGGGATGGAGCGGTTATGGGGACATACTCTGTTAAGAGGGTATGGCAATCACTTCGTCAGAAGAGCAGTGTTGTGCCTTGGGCATATTTAGTTTGGGATGCTGTTATCATCCCACGTCATGGGTTTATCCTTTGGCTAATCATACAGGACAAACTGAAATTGCAGGATCGCCTACTTTCCTGGGGCAAACCTGTATCGGGTTTGTGTTTGTTGTGCCCTGGTGGATTGGAAACTCGATATCACCTCTTTGTGGAGTGTTCATATGTGAGGCATATGCTTGTGCAGGTTTTGAAGGCTGCTGCGCCGCCTTTGCTTGCTGATTGGCAGGAAGAGTTGTGCTGGTGTGTAGCTCGCTGGAGTGGGAATTCTGCTACTGCAAGGCTTAATAGGCTATCATGGAGTGTGGTGTTGAGTTTGGTTTGGAGGGAGAGATGCTCCAGAATGTATGGCTTGAATAGGGCTCGGCTTCCGACTGAGCTGATTGTGCACGCAAAATGGATTGTTGAATATAGGTGTCTGCTTGATCAGAGCTTATTGGATTGTTTTATAGCTAGAGGCTTGGGGTAGTTTCATTTGCTTGGCTGATTATTGTACAGACTGTTTGTTCTTGAGGAGCGCCATAGTATTTTTTGCTATTGGTTGCCTATTCTTAATGCAATTTTGATCTAAGCATCAAAAAAAAAAAATAGAAATCGGGATACGATTCTGATTTTATATAGGGCTCTCATGCTAGCATTAAATTATGATTCGAGTTTGCAAACAATTTAAATTATGTAGAAATCAATCAAGATACGAACTTTACTACCACATCTCATTACATTGTTAAGATGAAATCATACATTAAAAACAAGAATGTACGTACCTTCAATAAACCAAGCAAAATTGAGACACGGGTGGCATCAGAAGCTGCTGAAAATCCTGCACTCTATAAAATAACGTGGGATTGGCACAGGTGTAAAGTCTGGTAATTACAACCCAGGAAACATAACTAGCAAACTGAAATTAATGCAAGTCACAACAGCAACATAATATATGGAAAAAAGGGCACCTGAAGAATGGATGCAGCATAATATAATACACTTGGTTGCCCTGTGATCTGCACAAATTGGCACAGAGTGAAAAATGTTAGAAGTTCACATGGAAGGCGCCTTCTTTCCCAGTAATGAAGATACCTGTTGAAACAACACCAGTCCACAGCCAATCGTCAAGGCCTTCAAGCATTTTCCTTGGAATACTTCCCCAAATGTAACTTCCTTCTCCTCTCCAACAAAAGCAAGCTCATTGAGGATCTCTTCCACTTGTGCAGGAGCAGTATCTCCAAAAGCTTCACCCCTAAGGCGGCACAGACAATTTATTGCTGTATCTTTCAAATCTCGTGCATCACCTTTACCCTGTATTGCACGCAGCAGGAGCCATCTAGGTGATTCAGCTAGCCACCACATCCCAATCCCCATGATCACTGCCAAAGGGGTACTGACTCCATACATATAGCGCCAGCCAGCTACAGTCTCGACCAGAAGACTACCAACGACATAGCCAGCCTATAATGCATCCATGTCAATCAGAGAGATCAGAGATGCAACCAATTGCACATGTGGCCATGAGGTAAACACACACACAGACCAGAAGCAATTGAAGCACTTACCACCATCCCGAGGACAATAAAAAACTCTTTCAGAGATATTAGTAGGCCACGGATCTGGCTCGGAGCTGTCTCAGCAATGTACATAGGAGCAGCATGCATTGCCTAAAAGGCAGCAGAGAAAATCATATAAGCAGTGCTTTGACACAAAAATCATCCATTGGTTCAGGAGCTACAAGAACAAGAGGTGCATCGTACCAATCCTATTCCAGTACCAAATAAAACACGCCCAATGATCAAAATGGCCAGATTAGGTGCTACTGCTGTTATGAGTGCCCCGACAAGATACAAGACAGCAGACAGAATCAACTCCTTTCTTCTTCCTTCAATTCAAAATGCATTACAGCATTGGTTAAAATCTCCTTAATTGGAAAGGGGGAAAAAAGGCATAATTTTTGTCATCACGAAAAGAACTATCGTAATGTCATGGAGTTGAGTCGGAACAAGAACCAAGAAAGTCTGCAATATTGAAGGCCAATATCGATCCAATGAGTGCGCCATACAATGAGCCACTTGTCTGCGAGAACCAACAGTCACATGTGGTACAGTTTGCATCAATACTTGGCCAGATAAATACATTATTAAGAAGCAGGCGTCTAGCCGAAAACTAGACAACAGTATGCCCCCTACGAGTAACAAACTTACGATGAGCCCAACTTCCACAGAACTTAAGTTGTACCATGAAATTCCACTAAAGCTAGCTGACTGCAAGAGAAGAACAGAGATAGACATGTCAGCAAAACAGGGTATGTGAAGTTCCAGATGCAGTGATCTCACATACACACTCTCTTGTCTTTAGAAGCACACCTGAATAGATATCGTAGCGCTCGAGGTGGAACCAATATCATAACCATATAACAGTCCTCCCAAAGCAGGAAACAGAAACCTGAAATCCAAAGAAAAGTGATAAGCGCAGGAGAACATCAGTTCAACGACTTCTGTTCTCCCCCTCGCCGTCTCTCTTTCGGCAAAATATGAACTTACGGGAAAATTGCAGCCAGCACAGAATAACTCTCGGAGCTATGGTGCTGACCGGCATTCAGCAAAGGCTCATCCACACCAGCACCATCAATCTCGCCGGAAGACTTCCCGACCTGAAAAAACACAAGTGAACGTCGATTCAGTTCCAATTCTCCCAAGATAAGTACACTAAACTCTCGGAATCAAATTCAACTACTCCGAACCACACAAGCTTGAGTCCTAACCCAAAGAAAGTCCGGTCACAAATCAGACCCTAAATCATCTAGCCGCTGGAATGTTCAGATCTCCAAACAGTTTGAAAGGTAAGTTAACACTTAACACCATATAGTTCAACACACTCTCCCAAATCTTCGCGTTCTCATCCCTCAATCGAGGCATGCAAACAGCAGGAAGAAGAAAAACGAACTAGAATAGACCCGCCGGAAGCTAAAATGCAGAAAGCAAAAGAGCAGAAGCAAAAAAAACAAACGGTGGTTACCCTTCCGATTGAAGAGAAGGAAGGCTGCTCAGGGTCGGAAGCCATGGGTTGCTTTGGTTCTCCAAAATCTTCGCTCGCTGCAACACACTTGCAACAGCTGAATCAAGAATGCATGAACGATCTGGAGACTGAGATTCCGATTGCGCAGCTTGCTTGCTGCGAGTTTGTCAGGTCGCCAGAAGTTTCAGAGAGAAGAGTGGGATAAAGAAAATAGTTTTACTCGAGAATTGAATTGAAATTGATGGTCTCCAGTGGTGATGATGACGACTTCGTTATATAACCAAAGCAAGTCCAGAAATTAAGGGGTCGTTTGCTTGTTGAATTTGGGTCATGGATTTGGTACTTAAATCCCAAGTTTGATGGATTTAACACAAGTCCATTGTTTGTTGATAGGTGTCAAATCCGTGGGGTCCACGGATTTGGTCTTTAATTTGGGACCAAATCCGTGGACCCTACGGACTTGTAAATCCCACATATTTGTTTGGGATTTGTAAATCCATGATGGTTGTTAGTTGCTTAAGTGACAAATCCATCATAAATCCATTATCAATTCTATCACGCAAACACTAGACTTTTCAAATCCATAATACAATAAATCTCTCATGAATCCCAAGATTTTTGTTGCACAAAACCTTCATTTTTCAAATCCAACAAGCAAACAACCCCTAAAAGAGGCATTTGTGTAATTGGACGAGCTTATCGGTGATGGGCTCATGGTAGGTATGCAAAAAGCAAAACAATTAAACAAAGGGTGGGTAGGTAGAGAGCATAGAGTATATTAGACTTTAGAGAATGGAGGCTCCGGGAAAGTGAATTGGCATGTGGAGCCTTGAAAAAACTACCATGTGTCATTTAAAAATTGAGTAATGTTTATTTTTTATTCAAACCTTTTCTCGGATTCTGTTATATTATCCAAACCTATCGAAATATTAAGAATTAGCTAAATGTTAACTTTTTGTTAACAATTTTGTTAGTAATATTGACTTGGCAACATGATACCGACTTGAAAGAGACTCATTAAGGTCAACATTTCAAAATTTTGATATTTTAACTAAGAAAAGAGTTACAAAATTATTAACGATAAAGTAAAAATGGCTAATATTTTGATGTATTATGAAAGATTCGGATAATTAATAGAATTTTAATAGGTTTGGATAATATAAAATAATCTGAAAAATGTTTGGATAAAAAATAGACATTGCCCTTAAAAAATCTATAAATATAAATATAATAAGTATTTGGATTAATAACAAGGACTTTGCTACACAAATAGGTCGACCGAGAGGTAATGATGGTCAACCGAATCTATTGTTTCCGTTTTATTACGTTTAACAACGTGATCGACCTTGTACATGAAATGGTTTTTGGTGTTAGTGATTAAGTTGTTATGAAGTTATGGTTTCTTGTTATTATGATTGTGGATTGAATTTGTTGGTTTTAATCGTAATTTGTTAGGACCAAACAAAATACACATATTGACAGACATAAGCAAAAACTTCGAAGGTCATAGGCTGATTTTACTGTAAGCGATCTACCTTTTACTTTAAGCGGTCGACTGCAAAACCAACACTTTCCTCTACGTTTCACTTCAAGAGGGATGGATGGATAACATTCTATTCTTCTTCTATCCGGTTGGCCTTTTGCTGTAAATGGTCGGCCTCATTGCAAATATGGTCGAGCATGTCTCCATTATGAGCGACCATTTTGGTAATGACTGCCTTAAAGTGGTCGACCTCCTTAAGTTTATAGGCCACCATTTTGCATATGACTACATTGAAAGGTCGACCTTTTCCCATTGTGGTTGACCATTTTAGTATTGACTAACTTAAAACGGTCGTCCACTATATGTCACAGGTCGACCGTGATTTTCCATCAGAGTGACCACAATGGTGTTAACCGGTCGACCGCAGTTACTCATAGGTCGACCGTATTGTGCAAGTTACGGTGACTTTCAAAGAACCATAGGCATACCCTAATAACAATACTTCAGATAACACTAAACTATAAGAATTGGATGCCAGATACCACTAAAATATAAGTAAGGTACTCGAAATCGTTAGAATTGGTGAATTGTGCATTCGTCAAAAAAAACCCATCAATCTGCCATTAGTTACAAATAAAAATTTACTTTTTATAATTAAAATTAAAATAACATATAAAAAATGAGAAACTAATTAGAAAATAGCTCTATCAGAGTGTGGCCAGTATATGTAGGGTTCTGGATGCTTTTTATATTGTCTCCGGTATGAAGTGTAATCTTGAAAAGTGTCAATTATTTTGTGATGGGATATCGGAGGAGGAAAAGAGATCAATCTCAGCTTACTCAAGATTTCCTCTTGATAGCCTCCATATTCGCTATTTAGGAGTCCCTCTGTTAACAAGGAAGCTTACTAGAGCTTACTGTAAAGTTTTTGTTGATGAAATCACCATAAAAATTCATTGTTGGAGAGCCAAGTCTCTTAGTTTTGATGGAAGGCTTCAACTAATTACCTTTGTTCTGACAAGTGCTCTTCAATTTTGGATGAATATTTTATGTTACCTCAGTTTGTTGTTAAAGAAGTTGAGTCACTCTCTAGCAAGTTTCTTTGGGATATTAATTATTCTTCAGTGAGAAAACGTGTTGTTGCCTATTTGAATTTTATTGTTCGGCCTAAGAAAGAAGGGGGGATTGGTATTCGAAGCCTTGTTATCCGGAACAAAGCTTGTGTCCTTCGTCATCCTTGTGTGATTCTTGCTAAGGAAGAGTCTCTTTGGGTTGCCTGGATCTAGCGCTACCGTGTTAAGCAGACCCCGATTTAGGATATCAAAGTTACACCTGTTGGTTCTTCGATATGAAAACATATCTTGAAGTGTCGTGAAGCAGCTTGGCCTTATATATCGTCCTCTCGGTCTGGTTTCATGTGGGATGGGGAGATGATGGAATCCTATTCTATTAAAAGAGTCTCGAATTCATTACGATCGCATGAGAATGTAGTGTTGTGGTATAAGCTGATTTGGGATAAGTATATTATACCCCATCATGGGTTTAATCGTGTATACTCTGGTTGGTCATCAATGATAGGCTGAAGTTGTAGGATAAATTAATTGATTGGGTAACCAGCCTTGTAGACTATGTTTTCTTTGCACAGGTGGTATTATAAGTCTCGTTGTCATCTATTTGCAAATGTGCATACATTTATTTTGTCCTTGATATGGTAATGTATGTAGGCTGAGTCTCCTTCAATACTGGGAGTTTGGCATGCTGTTTTGCAATGGTTTGTAAGGAAGTGGAGTGGCGGTCATATCCAACCAGTGGCGGACCTGTTCAATGTCAAGGGTAGTCAGTTGACAAACTTTGGCTAAAAATTTGGAACAAATTAGCATAGGAAAAAATATATTGTTGTTAGCATGATTTGAACCCTTGACATTTTGACAACCCTTACACCTAATAGAAGTTCCATTAAACCACTATCCAATTGTTATTATAGACATTCCAAAGCAAATATATAATGCTCAAAATTAATTTCCCTCTAATATGTCGAATCCAAGACCCATTAAGATTTTATTAAATCTCCTTATCTTTTTTGGGCATGAAAACTCTACCCCAATAAAAAATAACTCTCGACCCTCTGACTTCCAATATTTCCAATTACAATTCCCAATTTTTTGACAGAACCCTTGCTTGCCCTTTTTCTATCATCGGCAACTCATTGATGTACTTTATGAATTTTTTTTTTTTTTGTGAATACCCTTGACAAAATTTCTGGGTCCGCCACTGTATCCAACAGCTTTGAACATAATGCTCTGGAGTGTGGTGATAATCCTTGTTTGGTGTTAACGTTACTCAAGGATTTATGGCTCTAATGCTGCGAATAGGGATGACAACAAAACCCGAACCCACGGGTATCCTACCCGACCCAACCCAGTCAACGCGGGTAAAATCCATGATGACGAGTTTTGAGCTGGGGTTCGGGTTTAAACCCGTTCACTATTCATCGGGTTGGGTTTGGGTTTAGGTAAACCCGCCCCATGGGTACCCACCCACCCACACCCATATAATTAATTTTCCAGGTATATTTAATATTCTAAACAACTAATCTTCTATATGTTTGTGGAGACATGTCTAATTTTTTGTTTCTAATTGTGTAGAATGAAATTGATATTATCGAGTGGAGAGTGCAGATGCTTAATTGATAAGGAGGAAGAAGTTTTCAATTAATCATGTTGTTTATGGATAATTTGTTATTTGCTTCAATTTTCTTGAGTTTTATAGATTGGTGTTGAATAATTAATTTGTGATTTGCTTGAAATTTATAGAATGGTATTTTATATATGAATAATTTGTATTGAGAGATTGATATTTCACTTTTATTTTTGATAAAAACTTGTTATTGTAAAGTTTTTATGACAAAAATTCATGGGTAGCCATCAAACTACCGCCTACCGGTAATAAGATAGTGCCGGGAATCCGTCTTCGCCAGCGGGCTTAGGGAGCCCATGTGTGAAACAAGGCTCGTTCTATCTCTTCTCCTGTAAATGGCAGAGTTAACCGTTCATTCATTTCAGTTGGAATCCGAGGGGTGATAATAGAGACTTAACCACTGAATCTTGAGGCAGAGGTTCTGAAAATAGTTAGACGGACAACTACTCTCCTCCAGTTGGCCCAGGTAAACATAGTCTTGATCATCAATCAATCAATCAATCAGCTTCGTTAATTGAGTTTTTCCTCCTCCGTTTCGATGCTCTGGCGTGATTTTTTTTTTGTATTGCTGTCCATGCTATTCGCAACCTTTGCAGCCATTTTTGTTTTGTTCTTCCTGCAATAGTAGCGTTGCTGCACATTCACTCTCCAGTCTTCTCCTTGGAATAGCCCAGCCCTCTGATTTAGGTTCGAAATCAAGGGCTTCGAGGGCTGCTTGAATCTCTTTCAATCGCTTTGGCGCTTCAGTTCTCCACATCGTTCTCTGCTCCAAAGTTCTCCACACTCTTCCTGCTCAAAACAAAACCCCACCCCTTTCCTCCCCCGACCACGCTATTTCTTTCGCAATCGTCGTCTCCCTTCTTCTTCTTCTTCTCACTGTTGACGCCCTCTCAGTGTTCGCATCCCACAACCGTTACGCAGAGACTTCTGGAACTCCCAAATTCAAGCAACCGTCGCCACTCCCGAAATCCCTCTTCCTCTCTGCAAACATCTTATGTCCACTATTGTCCATTTACATCTCCCAGAGTTGTAGCCTTCCTAATACATTACTCATCTGG